CTTTTTCTCTCTTTTTTTTTCCCACGTTTTTTTTTTGACTTTTTTTTTCCTTTCTTTTTTTTCACGATTTTTTTTTCCTTCCTCTTTTTTTTTCTTTCCTTTTTTTTTCTCTTTTTTTTCTTCTTTTTTTTCTACCCCCCCCCCCCCTTTTTTTTTTTTCATGTTCCTCTAACCTTTTTTTTTTTTTTAAGGGCTTGATTAGGTATAGCAACTTGATTTTGCCAGCCGTAGCAGAAATTGAAATCGTCCTTCTAGACAACACCAATCGAGCTTCAAATTTGTTTGTTGTTCCATCATGGTGGTATTCAAGTGTTTTATGAAGCAAAAGATGACTATCTTATAGAGTGAAAATAGTCGAAAAAGCCAAGGAACCACATTAAGCGTATCTGACTCACTTCTCAGTCGCAATGCCATTCATATGCCTGATCCTAACAATGAATATTGTTCTTCTCATTGGACACGCATTCAAATGCCTGATCCCGACAATGAACATTATTCTTCTCATTGGACACGCAAGGCTACAGGCGACCTCACCAACTTTGGTCTTGATCAGATTAATGAAGAATCCATTGTCTCGGAAGTCTTGATATTAAATTCTTCACTTCATGAGAGAGTTGTTGAGGAAAACCAATTTTCACTCTTGGGTCTCAATGTTCAGGCGAAAGAAGTATCATAGAGTATTCCCTGTATATTTTCTGCTGAATTGCCACACACCGAACTATATTGGGAGTGGTTAACAGATGTTTTGACGCGTTTCCACGACTTTCTATCAAAACAACAATTATATGGTGCTCTATTTGCCTCCCTATTTTCATATGATCGCCATGAAGATGCATTCAAAGCATTCCTTGAATGTTGGTGCCCAGCCATTAATATTCTTCGTGGTTCTATCGGCGAGTTGTCTTCATATGAGCACTATGGAGATGTATTCAAAGCATTCCTCGAATATTGGTGCCCAACCACTAATATTCTTCATGGTTCTATCGGTGAGCTGTCTTCATATGATCCCCATGGAGATGTATTCATAGCATTCCTCGAATGTCGGTGCCCAGCCAGTAATATTCTTCATGGTTCTATCGGCGAGCGAAATTTTTTCTTCGACACTTCAGCAGAAAGCCAAAGATCTTTTTCAGCAATACCTCGGCGGCAAGCAAAATTTTTCTTCAACGATATCTCAACTGAAAGCCAAATTTCTCTTTCAGCAATACCTCGGCGGCGAGCAGAATTATTTTTTTCCTCAATGACACCTCAACGGAAAGCCAAATTTCTCTTTCAACAATACATTGGTGGTGAGCAAATATTTTTTAGCAATACCTCGACGGAAAGCCAAAATTTCCTTTCAGCAACACCTCGGTGGCGAGCAGAATTTTTTTCTTTCAACGACACTTCAGTGGTGAGTCAAAATTTTGTTGCAACAACACCTTAATGATGAACCGGATTCTTCAGTGACGCCTTGGCAGCAAACAAAATTTCTCTTTCAGGCAATACCTCGGCGATGAGCAGAAATTTTCTAGGCAGCTACAGTTTGGCAACGAGCCAATTTATTTCTTCGCGGCTACATTTTGCTGGATCAAAATTTCTTTTGTAGTTACAACTATGACGACAGATCAAAATTCTTCTTTGCAGCTACACTTTAGCGGCGGGCCAAATTTCTTCCTTGCAGCTATACTTTGGTGGCATGCCAAGTTGACAGGTGCGACGAGCACTTTTTGATATCGTATGATGAGTGACTTTTCCATTTTGCAACTTTGAGGAGTTTTTTTTTTTTTGATGGTGAACTGAACTTGGAACAGGCCTTCAAGATACCTATGTACCCTGAACAGGGATCAAGTCATCACGTAGTTCAATTTTTTTTCTTCTTCTAGACAGTTTATACTCGTATCAAAGAGTTCTTATTTATTTATTTTGGGAGACAGTTTAAACTCGTATCAAGGAGTTCTTGATTTTTTTTTCAGGTAGACAGTTTAAACTTGTGTTAAGGAGTGTCATTTTTTTTTGCAAGAGACAGTTTAAACTCATATCAAGGAGTTCTTGATTTTTTTTTCAAATATACAGTTTAAACTCGTGTCAAGGAGTGTCATTTTTTTTTCCAGGTAGACAGTTTAAACTCGTGTCAAGAAGTGTCATCTTTTTTTTTTCTTTTCAGGTAGATAGTTTAAACTTGTGTCAAGGAGTATCATCGACAGTTTAGACTCGTATCTGGGAGCACTTTAACTTTAATAATTTTCTTCAACTTTGCAAGAATCAGACGACAATCCAAGCTTATACTAGAGGGCACGGACTATCTCGTCATCACTTTGAGGATTTTCTTCTTGGTTTCCTTTACTTAATGCCCCCTGTAATTTTGCACTTTCGTTTGAAGTCATTATTGTAGCATGGTGCATTTCTTGATATAAGTCTTTCAAGATGATGCTTATAATAAAAGATGAAGCTATTTCGTCATCCGAGTTACGAAGTATATTGTCTTCTTTTTCGGACTCACTTCTCTCATCTTCTTGAAGGTTATTGGATATATCAGGAACATCTTCTCTAGCACCATGATTTTCCATGCTAAGCTCTATGTCATGGGCTTGAGTAACAAGCTCTTCAAATGTGCAAGGCTTAATCCCTTGTAAGATGTAAAGAAGCTCCCAGCGCATGCCTTGCATATATGCTTCAACTGCAGAAATTTCAGACAAACGATCCTTATAGTTAAGACTTAGAGCTCGCCAACGGTTGATGTAGTTAACCACGGGTTCACCCTTCATCTGTTTTATGTTTGTAAGCTTCAGCATACTTACAGTACGACGAGTGCTGTAGAAACGGTTGAGAAATTCTCATTCCATCTGCTCCCAACTGTCAATACCTCTAGCTTTGAGGTCTGTGTACCAATCAAATACATTCCATTTGAGGGAACAAACGAATTGCTTGACAAGGAGATCTCCGTTTGTACCAGAATTGTTGCAAGTTTCCACAAAGTGTGCAACATGTTGCTTGGGATTTATTGAAGCTTTGGAGGTTAAAACCCAACCAGCATTTTTAAGATATCAATTATTTCTGTGTAAGGCTTTGAGTACATGCGATCATTTTGACGAACACCACTGTATTGTTCTCTTATGCAATTCACTATCATGTCTTAAAGTTGTTGGACAGAAAGTGAGGTGACAGAGGCAGCATCAATTGTTGGATTAGCGGACACATCATCTTGATCATCAATTGGAGTGTTCTCTGACATGGAATTAGAATGAGAAATTTGGCCTTTGCTTAACTCAGCATTGTCATCATACAATTTTAACTTTTCTGTTAGCGAAGCAATTTTCAGATCTTACTCCTTGAGAGAGTGTTGTAATCTTTCAATTACATGGGTCATAGTCATCAATTGCTCTTTGTACGAGGTAGTACTCGTCATTATAACTGGCATAGTGATGGAGTCAGAAAAAAATCTTTGGCCTTAGGTAGACCAGCCTTGAACTTGAACTTGAACTTATGACTAGAGCAACCTTTGAGGTTGTAGGAACCTTCCTCCTTGCACCCAGCGAGGTGGAACTTGAACTTGTGACTGGAGCAACCTTTGAGGTTGTAAAAACCTTCCTTCTTGCCCCCAGCAAGGTGAAGTCGGTATGAGTTTGAGTTGTTACTTTGACAGATTTGGCAGAATTGACTCTCATCGCATCGTGCTGTCTTTTGGCAGGAACGGATGATTTGGCCATGCTCTACATCATTGAACTTGCAAAGGTGTTTGTACCACTTGACGAAGTTGCAACATTCTTACCACCTTTTGTGATGGTATTGATGTTGTCTGTCATGACCGTGATATCTTTGGTGGTATTCTTACTCTTCGTCTGAATCTTATTGGAAGTCATAGAATCCGACAATGAATTTGTTAAGGATTTGATGTAGGAGAAAGAGATGAGAGGCAGGGGATATCCCACCGTGCGTGCCAGAAATTTGTACACACAAATTTTGTAATCTGCAAATAAGAAACAAAATTGGGAGCAAATAATTTTTTATTAATTTATAAAGATGGAATAAAATCCTCTATAATAATCTTTACAAAGAATAAGGTCCTCTGATTCGATCTCCTTTTTGGTTGGTTGGATCCAAGGGCTGCACGAACTTAATCTTGAATCACTGTGGAATTTGGATGAAGAACGGCACGATTTGATGTGCTTGTGTTCTTCGTCTTCAAAGAGGATTTGTTAAATTTGGTGAAGAACGGCACGACTTTGGATGTGCTTGGTGTTCTTCGCCTTCAAGTTTGCCTTCTGGATTTCTGATTCTCTCAATTTCTGGACTTTCTGGATTTCTGAGTCTCTGGATTTTTGAACTCTGAATTTGTGTCTTCCTTCTTCCTCCAGGCCTCTATTTATAGGCTTCTTGGATTGATAGGATGATGACACGTGTCATCTCCTGATAAGGATAAAATTATAACTTGGCTGGACCGGTTATATTATGATAATTATCCTTAAAAATAATTATTCCAAATATATTTTATTATGAATAATTATCTATTTATTTAACCATCTGAGTTGGGCTAATTAAATAATTAAGTGAACCAATCTTAGACCAATTAAATAACTTAATTAAACATTAGGCTCATATTTAATGGGCTCATTTGTCAAAACCAAAACCCACTAAAATTTTAGTGTCTATACCAGTACATCATTTGGTTTAAAGGGAAAATAGTGCATTTCTTATTTTTCATAATTTTTTATCTAATTAAATGAACTACTAACAATAAGAAAAAATGATAAAGGGTAGATTATATTCACATTAAAAAATACAGCAATTAATTCACAGAAGGAAAAAAAATCCAAAAGAGTGCCATGCTAGTAATGTTCTAGCAACTACTGCAAGAAGTATTATCTTTCGAAAAAAAAGTCTACTACAACAAGTATTTCACTAATAAGATCTTCTAGAGTGTTCCAATGTAGGACAAACAAAACGGCATTTGATAGGATCCAACGGCTGAGATTAACAGGAAGCTTCAAGAGCAAATGGGACCGTTTATTTACGCTTCACTTCTTAAAACCTAATCGCTCTACCAAACGCAGTGTTTCTCTCACCCACTCTCTCCGCTTCTCTCTCCTAAACCCTAACCTATCCATTCCCGTTTCTGGTAAAGCTCTGAGCTTCAGGTATTCCATTCGCTTAAACACTTCTTTTTCTTTGCTTATATACGTGTGTGAGTATTTATGTTTACGAAGATGCTATGTATGTGTGTGGTTCTGTTTATAGTTAGAATTGTTTCTTGGAGAAAATGAAGGATGAACTTGAGGTATTAAGTGATCTTTTCTTTTATCTCGTGGAAAGAAAATTTAGAGCTTGATTGGAACTTCGTTGAAAACAAACAGAATTCATAGCAGAATACTATTGATTTTGCTTTCTTGGAATTGGGGGTTTTAACTGGGATTTTGTGGATTCGCAATTGAAGATAATTATGATTTTTTTTATTTTTCTGAATGTTGTTCCTTGTTTTCTACTAATTGGGTTGACCAGTATCTGCTCTCTTTAATTGCTGAAACTCGTGGATTTTTATGCTGCAATGTTCATGGTGATGATATTAACCGTAAATTATTGGAGTGCTTACTGTAACTAAGTTGTTTTCTAGTGTAATTTAATGAAGGTGAAGGTATTGTTTGATATAAATCTGGTTCTGTACTTGAAAGCTCAAGCTATTATTTGCTTTGTGAACGGCAAACTGAATTTTATTTTGGTCCTTCAAAGATTGAACTTTTGTTTGCTGAATATGACAGATTGTTGGCTTATGTTTGCTATGCCTCTTCAAATTTGGTAGAATAGTTATTTGGTGACCCAATATCATTCAATTGCTTATGCTTTCCTTGGAAAAAATAAAAAAATAAAATAAAATAAAATTGATGCAGTCAGATAATATTGATCAATTAATAAATAACTAAAATTGTTATTTATTATTATTTTTTTTTTCGAATTCTCTCCAACCTTTTTCTTCATGTTATTATCATAATTGAATTTATTTTTGTTTGTTTCTTTATTTTTTTCCTGTTTTCTTTATTGGTTCATTTTTTATTTTTATCTATTTTAAGTTGTTGAATTTACCTATTAGGAATAATTTTGTTTGAATTTGTCAGTTTTAGGAGTAAATGGCATCAGTTTTTGCTGCCATGTCCTCTGTCGGCTCCTTGGCTGCTCCCAGCAGCCCTGCCTTAGATAAAAAGCTTGCAATTTCTTCAGAGAAGTTATCTTCTGGTACTTCCCTATCTTTGAGATCATTTGGTAGGGGACGAAATGTAGTCCTACAAAGAAGACGTTCTCTCAAGATTTGCGCAGCGAAGGAGTTGTATTTCAACACGGATGGTTCTGCAATGAAGAAGCTACAGGTGAGTATCTGTATTGGGGAGGCCTATTCATTTTGCACCAAAGCCATTGTGCATGCTTTCTGACCATACTTGTTCGTTTGTTTTTGCATCAGACTGGTGTGAACAAGCTTGCTGATCTTGTTGGGGTTACTCTTGGTCCAAAGGGAAGGAATGTGGTTCTCGAGAGCAAGTATGGTCCTCCAAAAATTGTTAATGATGGAGTGACTGTGACCAAAGAGGTATATATTCTGCAATGCCCTTTTGTGATGGAGATTGTGTTCATCGCTAGCCGTGTTGATGTGAATATTTTCTATTTTTCCTGTTGGTTAATGATTAATTTATTCTTCCCCATCGGACATTTGACTAAACTTGTTATGGAGGCACTAATTGAAAAATGAGTGAAGCTAATATTGTCTCTCTCTAGGTTGAGTTGGAGGACGCAGTAGAGAATTGTGGTGCTAAATTGGTTAGACAAGCAGCTGCCAAGACCAATGACTTAGCTGGGGATGGGACAACTACATCTGTTGTTCTTGCGCAAGGTCTCATCTCTGAAGGTGTCAAGGTTTGTGTGGCCTTTTATGCCCTTGATTTTATTAGAAATCCAAAGAGCATAATAATCAAAGCATTTCTGGCTTTATTGACGTTATTAATTGGTATTGCTTATTCAGGTGGTAGCAGCTGGTGCAAACCCTGTTCTGATTACCAGAGGCATTGAGAAGACAACGAAAGGTTTAGTGGCTGAGCTAAAGTTGATGTCGAAAGAGGTGAGCTGGGAAAACTAGTAATTTATTTAATTAGGCTTGGCTAAAATTTTCATTTGTGTCTGTTTTATTGTATATTGTTCTTGATTTATCCATTGTACTATGTGACTACAGGTTGAAGACAGTGAATTAGCGGATGTAGCTGCTGTTAGTGCTGGAAACAACTATGAAGTAGGGAATATGATAGCTGAAGCCATGAGTAAAGTTGGTCGTAAGGGTGTGGTAACTCTTGAAGAGGGAAAAAGTGCTGAAAACAGTCTTTACATTGTTGAAGGAATGCAATTTGATCGTGGTTATATCTCGCCCTACTTTGTTACCGATAGTGAGAAAATGGCAGTTGAATATGAGAACTGCAAGGTTGGTCAACTGTTTCTAATTCTTGATATATGGTTGGAATTCTATAGTTTTGGATTTCCTTCTGATTGATGATTTTGTTCATGCAGTTGCTGCTGGTTGACAAGAAAATAACAAATGCAAGGGATCTTGTTAACGTCTTGGAAGATGCCATTAGAGGTGGATACCCAATTTTAATAATTGCAGAAGATATTGAACAGGAAGCCTTAGCAACTCTTGTTGTGAACAAGCTTAGAGGGGCTTTGAAGATTGCTGCTCTCAAAGCTCCTGGATTTGGAGAAAGAAAGAGCCAGTACCTCGATGACATTGCGATCCTCACTGGAGGTCATCATCATCCTTTCTCCTTCCTTGCCCTATATAATGTCTATTGCAGCACTCCAATGCTTGTTGGTTCCAGTGGATTGTCATTGCATTTTTTCCCCATTCCAACAAATTTTCTTTATTTTAACTAAATAGGTTTCCTATTTAATATAAGGTGTGCTCTTACCATATTTATCTTCATGTTGTTGACAAATTTTCTCTGCTTGACATACAGGAACTGTTATCAGAGATGAGGTAGGGCTCTCTTTAGACAAAGCTGACAAGGAAGTCCTGGGCCATGCTGCCAAGGTGGTTCTCACCAAGGATGCGACCACAATTGTTGGTGATGGAAGCACTCAGGAAGCTGTAAATAAACGTGTTGCACAGATTAAAAACCTTGTAGAGGTCAGTCTCTCTGTGTCTGTGTCTGTCTCTCTTATTAGAACTTCAATGCTGATTACATTTGTTTCCTCAATCAGGCTGCAGAGCAGGAATACGAGAAAGAGAAACTTAGTGAAAGAATTGCAAAACTGTCAGGAGGAGTCGCTGTCATTCAGGTAACTTTTCGTCATGTTTGTCAATTAACTTCAGCTTAATGATATATGAAGTATTTTTAGTTTTATGTTATATATACTGATTTTGTGATTAAAATTTTAAGGTTGGTGCACAAACGGAGACAGAACTAAAAGAAAAGAAACTAAGAGTTGAGGATGCCCTTAATGCAACAAAGGTAAGTTCTCAATCAAATTATTGATTTAAATTGGTTTCTGGGGAAAATTATAGCTCCATTTATTACCTGGGGAAAGATTACAGCAATTTAAATGATTTTCAGGCTGCTGTTGAGGAAGGTATTGTTGTTGGTGGAGGATGTGCTCTCCTGAGGCTAGCATCAAAAGTTGATTCCATCAAGAACAGCCTTGATAATGATGAAGAAAAGGTGATTTCATGTTGGATTTTACATTATTTTGTTCTAATGTCCAAATAAATATATGTTTCATTCACAATATATGGTTTATGGTAGAAATTGAATTCACAATGTGGTTTTTAAACGGCATTTTGTTAAACTTGGTAAACTTGAAGACCTTTGATGACTAGTACTGTATCTAGTTGTATGATTGTGCACTTCTAGCTAAGTAACCTTGACTGATTACAGGTTGGAGCCGATATAGTCAAGAGAGCTTTAAGTTATCCTCTGAAGTTAATTGCCAAAAATGCTGGTGTTAATGGAAGTGTCGTCTGCGAGAAGGTATGCAAATGGTATCATTATTATTATGACAACATGTTGGTTTTTAATTTTTTCTGACATTCTATGATTTTACTTCAGGTGCTATCCAGTGAGAATCCAAAATTTGGATACAACGCTGCAACTGGAAAATATGAAGATTTAATGGCTTCTGGAATTATTGATCCAACCAAGGTGAGTTGTTGTAAATAGTAAATACCAACTCCGGACAGCCATTCATGGCAATTGTCAGTTCTTGTCGCCAAAGAAAGGCTTCTCATGAGACATTTTGATGGATCTGATGGATCCCCTGCTGTGTTATGATACAACATTGAATTAGCCAACCCGGACCTGTGAAGTCTTTGCATTATTTTTTAAATTAACTATGATTTTGACTATTACTCAGCTGTCGTCGAAATGGTGCTACTGATTCCTTTTATTCCGAGTTGGCTTGGTTTGAGTAGATATTTTGGAAGTTACTAGCATTCTTAGATAAAATAAAATAAAAAGTAAAAAATAGAAAACTGATTGAATGAGTGGACACTTGTGCATTTAAAGTCAGTTGAATTTGCGAAGTTTGCATTAGGCACTTAAAAATCCTACGTTTTTGGTTCAGGTGGTCAGATGTTGCTTGGAGCACGCATCATCCGTCGCAAAGACATTCTTGATGTCAGACTGCGTAGTTGTTGAAATCAAGGAGCCTGAGCCAGTGGTTGCTGGGAACCCAATGGACAACTCAGGTATTAGATGTTGACTTGAAGCATAGTAACCCTTGTCTTACTGCTCGTCTCTTCTCTTATCTTAAATACACTTGATTATTAAACTCTTTCGTTTTCTAATGTCTGTCAGGATATGGCTACTAAAGAAGGTGGTGACAGGAGAAAGTCCAAATGATCTGACCTTGATGATGGTAATGACCCATAATTTTTGTCTCGTCTACAGAGGCACTGAGTTTTCTTTTTGTAAATTTTATAATTGAGGTGGTAGGGCGTTTAAATTTTGGTGAGATTAGCTCGCTTGAGTACGGCGACTATGAACTGGCAATTCAATGTCTAATTGCTGTGATATTGATTATCATTTGAGTTAATAAATTTAATCTTGCCTGATACAATCTGATCAAGATTTTTGCCCTAGGTACATTTTTCATTTATTTTTATAGTTCTCGTCAATCTGGGTGATCAAATGAAGACTAAACCAAGCTTTAGGAATCAGAAATAAAGCTATAGTCTAATCCATGTGATAGCATGCTGAAGCCACAATTGCTCTCTGCTTATGGTCTTGCCTTGGCAACAGTTTAAAATTTTAATAGCAAGTAGTTTGATTAAATTTTGATGCTGCAATATGTTATTTATGTGTTATAATTTATATTCTAAATTTAGTTATCTAGGAAGAATATGATGTTATGTAGTGTTAGCCACATATAAATATATATTTTTTATATTTGCTTTAATTCAGATGATTTGTATCTGAAACTGGATTTTGGAATGATTCAATTCCAATTGGATTCAGCAGTCTTTTGAAGCCAATGATTATGTCACCTTACTGTGATCCTTCTTGCTTCCGAAGAAATTGTCTTGGCACATCCTTCAGTGTAGGCTTTGTGACTTTTACAAGTTCTCCGGGTTTTTTATAGTTAGGGTTTTGTTTTTGTTTACCGGGAGCTTTTGAAGGTAATTAGTGGTACTTGATGATGATAACATGAACTGGAATTAGGTCACCATATGATAGGTTTTCAGCATGAGCAATGATATATGTGAGGGGTGTGTGGACCCACCACATGATGTCCGGGTGATGTTATGTGACCACTTGGAGGATGCATCATCTTTTAGCATTAAAACTTGTGTATCTATGAGAGAAAATGTGCCCGTTTTGTAATAATTCTTGTTCGAATCGTCTCAATATGATGGTGTATTAGTTATTTTTTAAAGATTCTTAAACTATATTTGGGGTAATGGATATTTTGTGGTTGAATAATTTTGGCAAAAATTCGGAGTGATAATATTTTGTGCTATGTATTGATGTAGTAGAGTCTGGCTATGTGTCAAACTATTGAGGCTAATCTGGAATTTTTATGTAGTTCTGTGGAAAAATTAAAAAAACAAGGTGTGGGTAGAAGAACCCCATATAGAGTCTGTTTGGACATCCCTGTACAAATGTCTCCATTCTCTATACCCTTCTGGTGTAAATGTCCCAATCCATATTTGCTGGTCTGACTCATAACCTAAGTCAAATAAAGTGAGAGCGGGAGTATGAGAGCGGCAAAATTATGTCATAAGTAGTGGGAATTTGAGCGAGAGCACGCGCGGAGAGCGACACCTGTTGAGAAGGATTGACACCTGTTGAGAAGGATTGTGTAAATAGCTCGTAATTGAGAAGGATTATGTGAATAGCTTATAACTTATTTCTAACAGTTGTAATGGAAGGATTGTGTTCACGCACAAAGGGAAGCCACAGGTCTATTGACCATGAAATTATCTTTACATTCTATCCTTGGTACACCCCATTTCATGTTGTTTGTTTTGTACACTTTTCTTCGTAGTCGGTTTTTAAAATGTATTTACACAGTTAAGAGATTCACACATTTATCCCACGGTACAAATGCAAACAATCTTTTAAGGCTTCCTTTGGATTAATGAATTGGAAGGAAAAGAAAGGTGAGGATAGTGATTGGATAAGTGATACTATCAAAGATAACCTTTAACATTTTATTTTTGTTAAGGAAGGTCTCATCTTAACATTAGGAGTATCAAAGATAACCTATAACATTTATTTTTGTTAAGGAAATTTAAAAGACATCTGGGTCTCATCTTAATATTAGGGTATGAAAGTAAATTATTTAAGATATATTTTTTATTTTCTCTTTTACATTTTTTTAAACAAAAATGCTATTCCTAGTGACCTAATTAATAGAGTGCTTACCTCCACAAACTGGTATTTTGGTAATATGTTTTTATTGTTATATTTTTAATAAGTTTATTTCTAGTTTTTTCTCATTATGGGCAAAGGAAGTAGAAGCTGAGTACTGATAGAGAGAGGAGGAATAAAAAAGAAGCTTAATTGGTAGTTAAAACTCATGTACTATTATTTTTTAAACACAACACTCCTGAATTACTCCTAATTCTTTTTTGACAAATAATTCTTTTGTACGACTATTATTATTATTTTATTATTTAGATGCTGGTTGATAAAATTGAAAATTAAGTATTAAAAATTTTAAGAGTTGAATTTTAGGTGCTGAAGTTTTGAAGTGATAATTAAAGTATAAATATGATTTGATATCTTTTTGAATTTTTAGATAACTGATGTTTTATCACTTATAATTTTATTCCATTTTTATGAGTGCATTATCAAACACAATTAATTAGATAAATGTTTAATTCATTTAGAATTAAACGTTGAATTAGATTATAAGTTATTAAACATCTTACTTTGTTTTCATTCTTTATCCACTAAGGGCATCTCCAACCATTATGTGTGTGTGTGTGTATATATTTGTGTAAATTTGATGTGTCATAATAGATTTATACAAAAAGTTGGAATTATTTATTTTTAGCTAGTGATTGTTTTATACATTTTGTGTAAAAATATATCTTTCAATAATAACCAACCAGTGTCATTTTTTTACAAACCTACTTAATATATGGTTAATTTGTTAATAGAATAAGAAGAGAGTGGAGAAATGAAATATATTGATGTGACTATATAAAAAGGTTGTGTAAAATACACAATAATTTTACATATTAGTGGACAATGTATATTAATAGACTGCTGGAGATAAAAAATAAATAAATAAAATAAAATAAAATTTACATATCCATGTATAGTTTACACAAAAAAGAGTGTTTTAAAAGCATATCAAATTGTTGTGTATATATATATATATTTGTAAATATGATGTGTCATGATAAAATTACACAAAAAATTGGATTATTTATTTTTAGCTCCAACAGTTGTTTTATACTTTTGTAAAAATATATTGTCCAATAATAACCAATTACGTGTCATGCCAGAACCTCACATAACTTTTACAAACCTATAGGCTTAATATGTGTAAACATAGAGGCTTAATATGTGGTACCTGCTGGAGATTAAAAAAATTTATACATCATATGTGGTAACGTAGCAGTGTATATTTTATATAATAGAATATTTTAACAGACTGCTAGAGATGTTCTAACAGACCATTGGAGATGCTTTAAATAAAAAAGTAAAATATCGATATTACTATTATTAATTTAAGGGGGTTATATGCCAAAAACATAGTTGGGAGGGTTATGTCGTTTTGCCATTATTAAAAGAAATATGTTATTAATAGAAAATATATGAAAATAGACAATAAAGTCATTTCACCTCTCTATTTAATAGACACGTAACATTAAGGGTTAAGGTGCAGATTTTTGTTAGTTCCAAAGTGTTACATGCCAAAAACAGAGTTTGTTGGGTTATGTATCACAAAATGACATATACAAAGGTCAAAGTGCAATCAAGTCTTAAAAATAATAAATAAATACTAGTAAATAAAAATAATTGAGAATGGCCAAAGTTGTTTCCTGCATTCAGCAAAAAACGTATAGAAGAAATAATTTTGTGTGTGGCACTATGTGAGTATTGATTCGTCTAAAATACAGCTGGCTAGTTTGTAGGCATGCCATGCACAGTTTGGCCTAAATAAATGTCAGCCAATAAAACAAAATTGAAGAGTCTACTTATGATTATGTTGGCAGTATTACCGATCGCGATCGTGGTGTAATAAATTTAGACGGATATCATTATAAATTAGTCGAACTAACTTGTTCATAAAGGCAATGAATTCGGACGAATATCAATATAAATCAGTTAAACCGACCTGTTTATAGAGATGTGTAACGCTACCAAAGTCTTGAAAAAAAATTATGAACCAACCGATACGTTGTATATCAACCGATATAACGAATCAATTCCAGCCAACTCACTAAATTACCCTTCCTACTAAAGGTCATATTGTTTTGATACATATCAACTTGCTTTTCAATGTGTAATTGGATGATGATTTGCTACCGCGATGTAAACACATACCAAAAAACAAAAATTGCATATATACACGTATATATGATAAATTTGTACTCTTACTATAAAAAAATGAGTGGTTAAATTGACCAATGACACGAACTTAGGTTGAGAGTTAACACTATGTTTAACGTAATTGTTAGTCAAAGCAATTGTTAATTTTGAAGGTATACTAACAAGTGCAAATATTACATTGACAAAGCTATTTGAATGGTTTCACAACAAACTTAGGTTAGAGAAAATTGCCAAATTGTAGGGGTTTGTTGTTTAACCATTGCTAATATCGTTTGAGAAGACTTGCAAAGTCCACAAGGGCTAAGCTTTTGCCACGTACACTCATTTGTGCCCTTAAATTTTCTTGAGATCGAAGTTTGCCCAAATACATTAGTTTCTCCACAGTGCATGCATTCGAAGAGACTTCTTGTGGATAATATACATATATGCTTTGGGGGATAGGTCATAGTTATGGCAATTGTACTGGCATATATTTCATCTATTTTCTTAAATAAAAGGTGGAGGCTTAAGATTTTTGAAGATTACTTGTTGGACGGAGAGGAAAAAAAAATGCATTAATTTTTAAAGGAAAACGTAAAAATCGGACAGTACAACCAACTTATTACCATGTAAAGAATAATCATCATCATCAATACCTTAAAATTGCATATAAATAGAGTCGACCTTGATTGTATAAAGACATAATATAAAAATTCAAACTATCAACACATGGATATAAAGAACTAGATACTAGCATATTCCATTGAATTCTAATTTATAGTTCTAGTTCTTACTGAAGTAAAAATATACTTTGGTTTTTTCACCTTTTGTAATCAAAATGTTACAAATAATTTTTGTAAGATCTTAAAGAATAAGAAAATGTTAAAGCAAGTTTGACTATGTTCGTGAAGAAGCGTGAATATTGATAAAAAATTAATACCCTTATTCTAAATAATTTCAAAGAGGAAGTGAGAAAAATCCAGGCTTTTGCAAAGATGTCCAATGATAGAGATTTCTAGTTATTATATGGTTAATTTTGTACTAAAAATCTAGAAGATGTAAGAAAATAAATGTCGAATAAATTTTAGGTTTTATTGTAAAATAAAATCTTTAGAGAAAGTAACCATGTGGAAGTGAGTTATAAATAGAGGAAAGAGTTGGCTATGAAACCAAGCTAGGAAGCTAGATGGAGAGCAAATGCTCCAAAAACTACAAGACCTTCATTTTCTACTATTGTTCAATTTCTCAATCCTAAATCTCTTCTATCTTCTCTAGAGTAGCAAAACATAATTACTTAAGATAATTTTTTTTTTTGTAAAATTATCAAACAAAAAAATGAGTTTGATGAGTGTAAGCAAAATTTATAAAAATATAATTTTGAATAAAATATTGCCAGATAACGAAGGACAGCAGAAAAGTGAGACAAAATTTGAAGGATACAAGGTTTGTCTTTTCAATTATATTTTGTAAATAAATACCGGTAGTTGTTATTTGTTAGAGAATTGTCTTGTTCAAATGAAAAAAATTTCCCAAAAAAAAAAAACCTGAAAATCAGATGAATTATTCTCGAGGAGAAGGATGTAATTCACCACCAAAAGAGAAAGTTTAAAATCCCATCTAAGAAGTGAGTTTTTTTAGTAATTTACTCCTAAAAGAACATTCAAATGGGATGACCAAAAAACCAAAAACGTACCAAACGAGGAAGAGAAGAAAGAGAAGCATGCATGGGTATAGTAATTGCTTTGTAGTTGGTGATGTGTTGTTTGGCATTTGTTTGTAGTAATGTAAATGTGCCAAACTGCCAATCCCCCAATGCCATCTCTCTCTCACTCTAAACTCTCTCTCTCCTCATTTCTAAACCTCTCCATCTCCACGCCGCCTCTTCCTGACATTTAACAAGAACTCTTCCACTCCCTCTTCAATTTCGGAATCCCCCATTTTTTCTCTATTTTTCTTGAAAAATCCTTTCTTGTTTTTCCCAATCATTTTCACTGTAGCTATATGGGTGTTGTCTCTAATGCTGGCGATTTTGTCTCTGGTGCGTGACTTTGGTTTGTTTTTCACACATTATAATTTATAGTTGCCTATTTTCTTATCAATTTGTGTTCTTAGTATTGGGTATTTGTTGTTTTTGTTATACCTTTGGAAAGATTGAATATTTTGTGAATTTAATTTAATTTAATTTTGATTTTGATTTTGATGATATGGGTTTTTCTGGGTCTGACACATTTTGATGAAAGTTTGTTAGGGGTTGTGTTGATATATCCTGATTAGCCTGTATTTTACTAGTTAAAAGCTGTTTTTGTTTTCTTCTGTTGGGAACGTGAAAATCGAGGAAGTGGTTCTGAGTCACGTTTGATGACAATTCTTCTAAGTATCAACTGGGCTGTTTGAAGACTTATTGCTGTCCTGTTATAAATATAAGTGTGTGTATATATATATGTGTATATTTTTTTATGATTCTGGGTTGGAGAGATTCTTAGTGATAGGTTGTAATGGTGAATGGATTTGATTATATGGTTTTCATCAAATTGAATTTTATTATTTTATTTTTCGGTTTGATGATGTGATTTGACAATGTGAGTGTCAATTCTTGTAGAAATGATCAAATTATGGTTTAATTTAAAAGGACTTGATGGTGTTTTGGTTAAAGGGGTTCAGTTCTTGAATATTCACATGATGGGTATATTTTTTTTATGATGTAGATTGTTGTAACAATTGAAGGACTTTTCTGGGGATTTTATTAGCTTGCTCTGTTTGGTGAAGAGGGATTCCATTTAACTTCACGAAATGGGGAAGGGAATAAGTGAATTAGAGTGTGATGAATTCGAGAAGCTCCTTGGTGAGATTCCGAATGCTACTTCTGAGAATCGGAATTCTGAGGAATCCGGAGTCACCAAGTCCTCAAAGGAATTGAAAAGGGTGTCTTTGGGTGATAGGTTGTTTTCGCAACGAGCCAGGCCTATTGGTGTAAATCCCTTGAAGGGGACAATCAGTGAGAAACATCAGAAAAATGGGAGTCCGGTTGAAGAAAAGTTATCTGTCAATACAATTCAGCAATCACCCATCCATGGTGTTCGACACGAAGAACCAAATCTACCCGACGACCAGTCCTTGACATATGCTTTTACAGGATTGAGTTTCAATGAAGGGGCAACAATGGAAGCTGCATATCCTCCTTTGGTAAATTATAAATCCTTCCACCAGAATCATACTGTTTTATTGGATGGACAATTCCAAAATAACTTAAAGAAACTCCCTTCCAATATGGATTCCGGTTTGATGGTTGTTTCCTCTCCCCGATCACTAAATAATCCATCCGGTGGCTTCAATGGGTTTGATGTGAAAAGGCATAGCCAAGAAAGTTCAAATCCTTTTAAATTTAATGTTCAAGAACTGAAGAAGCAGCAAATTGGTTATTGCCAGCCAATTGAGAACTTTTCTGGCGCCGTGCCACTACCTCATGGAGTGCAAGGTTTTCAGTTTATCTCAAATGTCCCGGTCCATGGCGTAGAGTTTCCTATAATTTCCAATCAACAGCAGTACTTCATGGATCCCCGGACTCCAAATCCTTACTTACATTCACAGCAACTCAGCCAGCCTCATATTACATGGAGGCAAATGGAAGAGGAACATTATTTTAGAATGCATCAGCAGTACCTGTATTTGCAGCAGTTTCGGGATCAGCAGTTGGAAGCTCAGCATTCAGTTCAGGCAAATGGCAATGTGGCAACTAGGCTAATGAGCCGGAACTTGCGGCAACCATGTAATGATATGTCAATCTCTCACCATCTTGAGCAATCTAATCAAGAGCCATTTTGGAACAAGGCTACAATTTCGAGGAACGTAAACCAATCCAACCCTATCCTCGACTCTACTGATTTTAACACAGTGCAAGTTTTGGACAAAGTGGGGAAACAGCCCACAAAGATTCTAACAAGATCAAACGGATTGAACTCGCTTAGACCTGTCAAGTTTGGCTCCTTTGGAGGAAATGAATTGCATGCTGATGTTAACCATAGTGGAAGAGTTCTCTCAAATGGTCACTTCCACCAAAGATTACCCACTCATGCTGCTGGATTCCAGTTAGATAGCGCGAGCTTGCGAGGTTCAACCCCTGATACCAATGATCTTAAAAATGTAAATTTGAGGCTGCCACTTCCAAAATACAACTCTGTAGATGAACTTTCTGGTAGTATATATCTCATGGCAAAGGATCAACATGGGTGCCGTTTCTTACAAAGGAAATTTACTGAGGGAACCCGCGAAGATGTCAAAAAGATTTTTCTTGAAATTATAGTTCACATTGTTGAGCTCATGACAGATCCTTTTGGGAATTACCTTGTCCAAAAGATGCTTGAAGTGTGTGATGAGGATCAGAGGATGCAGATTCTCCATGCAATCACTGGCAAAGCTGGTGATCTTGTTAGGATTTCATGCGACATACATGGGTTTGCTCTCTCTCCTTTCCTTTTTTTCTCTTTGTATCTCTTCCAATGTTGTTACTACCAGCTGCTGTTCTTTTTTTTTATACTTCCAGACAACTGATTAGTCTTTTTTTCCAAAACACAGGACTCGGGCTGTTCAGAAGGTTATTGAAACCATTAAGACTCCAGATCAGTTTTCCATGGTTGTTTCCTCGCTGAAGCCTGGTATAGTGACCTTGATAAAAAACATGAATGGCAACCATGTTGCACAACGGTGTTTGCAGTACTTAACACCTGAATATAGTGTGGTAAGCAACACATAAACACAATCTTCATATTTTTTCTTTCATTGAAGTTTTAAGTATGATAGTTATTGCTTATGTTAAAAAGAGGTCTAACTTCTTGTTCACCAGATTGTAAACAATTGAAGTTGCTTGGTGTCTTAGCTTTAGCTATCTTGATTTAGTCTTGTTTGGTTGAGAGTTGCTTGAGTTCTGCTAAAGCTTGGAGTTTTTGTGGAGCCTTCATAGTTATGGTTATTTAACTGTGACACCTTGTCTGTCAAGTGTATAGCACCTATACAATCAACTCAAATATAAGTCTGTATAAGGGGTCATTACTTGGTGCTACAGAATAAGTCCGTATACATATAACTTTAGGAGTCATTGCTTGGTGCTATTGAAAAAGCTTAACCTGCCATAGTCCTCGGACTTAGGTTGCGAGCTAAAACAACAATGTGAGGACAGAGCTCCACAATGCCAATATTCTAATTTCTATGAATATGTTCAAATATCAATTTGGAAAACCATGGGGTAGATTTAGATGGTTTTTCACCTTTCTATCTCAGATAGGGAATGATTACTATGTTCCAAATATTTATGTGTTCATGTTTTTATCCACATTATTTTGGTTATGGAATTTTTGCTTTACCCGAAAAAGGAAAACCGTACCAAGGACGTATGCCTAGAATCTATTGGGATTTTTTTTCCCGTTCTGTCATTTCCAACCAATTATACCATGTTTAAATGTTGGGAAATTCATTTGCAATTTTGCTGCATTATAATTTCATCAAAGCTACACCTGACAATCTTATACGCAACAAGGACAACAATTGGGCCTTAAATCTAATTTATTGGAGTCTGATATGCAAAAAAAACTTTTGAAATCTTCATTATTTTTCCATATTAACTAATTCTTTGAGCCATAGGAGAGAGATAATATCCAGTGCACTGTTAGAGCATGGATTGGAAAATCAGAACTATGCAACCTATTTTACCAGAGCAAATTTCAGAGGAAGTCAACTTCCGAAGTGTCAGGGTGATTTTTGGGATGGAAGTTGATCGACTTCTAGTTACAGAAGAAAGAAGTGATAGGAGAATTGGCTTCTAGACAGTCGTAGTAAAAGCATTTTGGATGTCAAACTATTCAAGGCCAATGTGTCAACTTCTTTTATGATGTGACTTGTGAGCTCTGTCTACGTGTGTGAATGGGGTCTATTTCAGATATAATTCTTAACACATCTCAAAAAATAAAAATCTTAGAATACTTTGACATTTCGGAGTATGTATATTGCTGGTACCATTTTGTGTTGGCTAACAAATGACAGATCCACATAGTCTGTTATATTATTATGAAACAAAAAAACTTGAATTATTTGTCTTTAGCAGTAGTAAGGAATAAAAAGAAGGAACAACTGAGAATATATAGTTGACCAAAATTTTTAATGGAGAAGGATAGGTTATGCTTAGCTTCTGTTTTCAGTTTGAATACTCTTAGAAGAGCTGAATATATTGTCTATTGTAATAGAGTAGCAACCCAACACAGCAGCAGATGAAGTGAACTTCCTATTGTATATGGTCAGACCATAGATTTTACCCGTATCAGCTGCCTGAGGTGTGCTCTTAATCAATTTTGAAGTTAGAACACATTTGATCACTTTCAGGGCTAGCCAATAATGAATGATTGCGAGTTTGTAACTGACATGTCAATTTACGTGTCCTCTAACTTAGGTTATGTGTATTTTTTTCTTTCTTATATTTATGTGCTTTTAACGGTCTTGAGAAGTTGCATCTCTTTAGCCATAATGCAAACTTCCTTTTAATAGAAGTAGCTAGATTCGAGTAAGCATTTCTGAAAAATGATCCTCTGACTATGGTCTCGGCCCAGCACCGGAACTGACTTTATACTAAGTAAGGAAGAGAGGCAATCCAAGCTCTGAGTTGGATTTTTAAAAGGCTAAGCTACGTCTAGGTCTCTCTCTCTCTCTCTCTCTCTCTCTCTCCCCCCTCCTCCCTAATTTTGTATGGAATGCTATGGACATAATAAATTGTACAGCACAAAGAAACTTAGTTTACCATGTTTCAATCTCTTCCGTTCATGGCATCTTATGGAAGTCCCTCACCTTGCCCACTGGAAAAAGTATTCCTATTCACTAGAGAAGACCATTTTAAGCTATTTGTTGCTCAATCAATCACTGGGAAAAACTTTTTAAATCGCTAGAATTTATTTTGTAGAAGTAGAGAGAGAGGAGCATGTAAAGGAAGAAACTATAATTCTATTAATTCTCCAAGCAATAGTAATTTGTCCGTCACATAATGCCTTATATACATGGGAAAATCCTAAGCGAAACTCCAAGTAAGAGGTTGCTACTAGTCTAAAAGATAGATGCTACCAAAAAGATAAATACCAAATAATCAATTCCTATCCCTAAAAATAAAACATGAAAATAACTACTAAACTCTATAGCTGTGGATCATGTGCAGCGTACATGTGGTTCCCTTCCTGATCTCCATCAATTCTGGTCAAGTGAGAAGAATTTGTCTTGGAGAGTTGGCAGTGGTAAGAAGTTCCAAAAGATCAGGATTAATGCACTCAAGATTAAACAAAAAAATACTAATGGATGATCTTGCAATTTGTCTGAAAACCACTATCAACGTGATTTCTTATATAACTAATACCAGCAATGGCATATTAAGTATATATATTCAAGTACTTCCATCAAACGTGTAAGAATGTCAGTAAGAACTACTGCTTTAGTGTCAATAGGGGATATAGTGTCTTTTGTGGATTCCTTGATTGTATAGCAGACCCTCTTGGTCTTGCTCTTCTTTGGGCTGTGCTCCCCTTTGAGCACCTTTTAGTGAAATCTTACTTATCAAAAAAAAAAAAAAAAAAAAGGGAACTGCTTCAGTGAAGTTGCCAGAAGGACAGTTGTCTTATTTGGCCAAGAAACTAATTATTTTGTGTGCCTTCTGCATCATTGTTGATGAGGGTTTATTTTTGATAAATTTTCAGAATCATTATGTCTTGCAGTCACTACTTGAAACATCTCCAAATCTTATATAAAATATTACATAATAGAGCCATATATATCTTCTAAGTTCTTCAATGCCAATTCTTTAGATCTTCAAATTCAAAATTGCATTATATAGTTCTTCATCTGTGTGGTTTATCTTGAAATCTGAATGCGCATATTCAATCATTTGTTTCCTTTCATGCGCTCATTATTTGTTTCTTTGTTTATTATTTGGTCCGACATACAAGTTTTGAGTGTGTAGATGGCATGTCTGCTGTTTGCAAATTTTTTTGTCTCGTGGTTTTGATTTTGATGCTAGCTAGTTAGGGAACTTATACCAGTGCTATCTGCTCTTAGATTTATGGTGGGCTTTGGTCATTGGAAGTTTATTTTATGGTTTTAAGAGGTATTAATTGGGGCTTTTTAAAAGGTGTTAATAGGAAAGAAGTGGTATTTTGCTTGGTTTCTTAAGGTGATTGATTGCAGGAATTCTAGAGAATGTTGCAATAAATTTTGTACAGCGCTAATTATTTTATATGGGTGTTGAATTGAAGGCCAAAAAGTAAGGGGGAAGGGTTGAGTTGATCAGTACTTGGTAGGGAAGGGTTTTGGAGATAGAGCACATTCTGTTGTTTTGTTTAACTACTGAGAAGTAGAAGAGTACGATAAGAATAATCTAGGAATCCCAACTAGAATTCCATGGTACACATCATAAAGTAAGGTTTCATCACATTCGCACATCAAACAATTTTCAGCTTTCTAGAAGTCAACTATACTGAATAGAAAAGTCACATGGATATTTATAGGCTGCTGGGCATTTCGTACCTTATTTATGACTATAGCTCAATAATAGGAAAGTTGAAAATTTTGACTATTAAGACTAATCTAGAATTGTTAAAGAATACGTAAAAAGATTCAGTAGCATAACTCATACCACATAAGACTCATGGTACTGCGGCTGATGTCCAGCGAATTTTGAGATGATTAAAATACCCTCACTGCACAATACAAGAAAACAAAATAAATTTTACTAGCATGATGAGAACTCGGAATTTAAACTTGACTCAGTTTTATTCAACATGAGATGTTCTGAATGATATTTTAGTATTAGTTAGGGGTTTCAAAGGATTTATTTTGTTGTGTGAATCATGTGATCACTGATCACTTTCTCCTCTCTGCGAGTATGTGTAGTAAAAGTTTCCAAGAATCGAAGCTCCTGTAGTAAGGCTACCCCATGCAGCTCTCACCTATGTATGGTTTTAGGAGGGCAAGAGTATAGACAAATCTAACCTTATACATTAATTTTGCACAAAATGGTTGTTCTTAGACTCTGACCTGTGTCGTTGTCAGCTTGAGCTTTTGTCATTCCATCAAATAATGACCCCAAATGGAAGCTCCTGTAGTATTGTTAGAAAATATTTTTCAGCTGCCTCTACTCCTATCTATTGTTGTGATTGATCGTTGACCTCCAGCAGTATGATTTACTATGACAATTAAAAGCCCTAACCTTGAAGAGCTCCAGCAAGTGCTATTTTCTTCTTCTTTATTATTCATCCTTCCATATCCGAGACATGAATACTTGCTTCCAATCAATATCCCATACCCTTACTAGCGTCCTTGCCATTTTCTTTTTCTTCTGGACCAACAACCATATTTGGGTTAACCATCATGAACCACTACTACAGCCATATCCAACAAATTTTGAAATTACCAGAATAACTTTGACTCTAAAATACAAGAAAAAAATGAGGAAATACTATAACAGAAGCATAGTAACCTATTAATATAAGACAGAATATAATTTAACAATAAACTAAACCTGATTACATAACGTCCCAAGCATATTCCATGTGAAATTCTTTATATTGTTAGAATGCCCTGCTTCATTTGTTTTGTTTTTCTTTCTTTTTTTCTCAAACCATCATGGTTGCTGTTTTTATTTGATGTGTGCTTGGAAGAGTTTTTTTTTTTGAAATGTTGACCGTCTAATTTTACATATCAATGTAGCTAGTGCAAACTCAACTCAACAAAGCCTTTTTTGAACCATTTGGGATTGGATAATATTTTTGCATTTGCATTAAAGAAAATATGTCAATTTCGAACCGTACTCTAGTTACTACCAAATGGAGAGTAGTAAAATACAATTCAGGCAAGTGATTTAAACATAGTAATTGAAAATCATTTGATTTATATTTTTAATGGCATTGAAAGAAAACTATTACCATCAAGTCTTCAGCTTGTTATCTTGTTCTCCTTCCAAATGGAAGGCTGAGGGCTCAAATTCCCATGGGGACAACAGTGGGGGTGTGCTGAGTGAGTAACTTACCTACCAAAAATAAAAAATAAAAAATAATTGTATTGCATTGCCTAGATTTTCTAGACTTCCAAGAGATAAACATTCTAATTCAGCAATTTTGATATTTAGTAATGTCTCTGTTGTTAAGTGACAGCCCAATTTTTTCTCCCCATAATGATTTCACTTTGTAGTATTTATTTGTGCTTTAGCGTCATGAAAACACGAAGCTTCCTTTTTTATCTCTAAACACCTCTTAAGCCACTTCTCGTGTTCTACTGTATACTTATTGCATTCATGTTGAATCTTCCTATGGAGTTACTTTCATTATGATATCATTGGATTTCAAGCAATTTTGTAACAAAGAAATACATGTTGGTTTCTCTGCAGTTCCTTTTTGAAGCTGCAACGGCTAATTGTCTTGAACTTGCAACAGACCGTCATGGCTGTTGTGTGCTTCAAAAATGTCTTAGCCATTACGATGGTGAACAAAGATGTCATTTGGTCCGTGAAATCACTTCAAATGCTCTAATTCTTTCCCAAGATCCATATGGGTACATGACTTCTTCCATCTTCTTTATAAACTCATTTTTCAAATTTAAAAAATAATATGTTATTGCTTTTCCTCTTTACTTTCTGTGATGAAGTTTGGATCCAATTTCTTGAACACTTCATCTTAAGAAAATGTGTTGATATGGTGGTGTACTTTTTAACAAGCAATATGGCCATGTATTAGCAGCATGGAAGAAGAAAGATAATGTGGCCAATTCAAATGAATAATGTGACATTTGTTCTTTATTTATTTATTTTTTCCTAGTTGGTACTCACACATCTCTTCTGAGACTTGAACCCCTGACCTCTCTTTGGGAAGTAAGAGGCTGATACCGCTAGGCCACTGGCCCGTTGGTATGTGACATTTGTTTGGTTAAGTTGAGTACTTGAAGCGGCGAATACTTAAAAGATGTTATTATATCATTTTCTTTTTTAGAAGCTCGTTTTTACTCCTACCCTTTGTACTACAAATTGATGTCCAAACCAATTTTAACCTCATTTGAGATACACCATAATATTTGATTTCACTTTGAAAACTTATAATATGGCTCTAGGACCCACTACGTGTCCCAATGTTAAAGTTTCTAATGCATGCTCAAGAATAAAGATTAACCCGAGTGAGACCAAAAATTGGTCGTAGGACTTGTTTTTCAAGTTCTTTCAAAATTATGTTCATATTATTTTTCTTGTTTTGATGCTTTGTTTATGTTACTTTTCTTGTTTTCATGCTTTCAAAAATGACTTATTTCCAATATTTTTGTTAATCCCATGCATTTTAGAACATTTCCAGAAACATATTTATAACATTGTTCTTATTTTTCTAAAGAATTTTCTAAATAAAATAAATTAAAAAAATGCTTTCTATAACTTTTATGGTTTCCTTATTTTCAGAAAATTAACAAAATGTATTTCCAACACTTCTCTTCTCCATATTTTCTGAAACATTAGCAAAGCAATTACCATCACTTATTTTATATTGTTTTCTAAAATATTAACAAAATACATTTTTATCACTTCTTTGTTTCCATATTTTCTTAAACATTAGCAAAACACTTTCCATCATCTTGTTGTTTCTTTTATTTTTAAGGATGTATTTTAAATACCTTTTGTGATTTTCAACACTTTTCATGTTTTTATCGTAGTAAAATATTTTTTCAGTACTCTTCATGAGAGTTGCATTGTGGATGCAATTTAGATGCTTTGTGAGTTCATATATGGACCTACAGGGGAGATGAATTTTTTAACTGAAACAATTACCTCATTCAATTTTGAATCCAATTTAACAATCGATCATTCAAAATCATGTGGTTAAAAAATAAAAATAAGGAGCAAAAGGAACAGGACTTAGATTTGTACTTGGGAATTTTTGGATAACCCTAAGTTGGGAAAAACCTCCGGACCTAATCAAAAGAAATAAATCCAGAAAAAGTTACATCTTAACTCTCGACTCAATCACTGCCTTTGTGCCTAGTTGTTAATCTCCTCAAATTTATGCCTGTTTTACAAGTCACTGCCTTTGTGGCCAGCTGTTGCCAAAGCCTCAGTTTTATGCCTAAAATTCCCAAGTCCAGCCATGGATCTGTCAATGCAATCATCTCCCCGATGACTCGCATTCTTTAGTAGTTATTTTTGCCCAACCCAACCTTGATCTCCCCAAGTAAAGTAGATTCTGATGATAACAGTTAAAACAAATTCAGTTTGAATGTTGAAACTCCATGCTCTTAATTCACCATTTAGGTCTGTGATGTGTTCCTAATGATGTGAAAGAGGAAAGCATAAACTAGGTAGCACCTCTTTAGCCTTGTTAAGCCACACAATTCCTCTCATGATCATTCAAAATCTACCTTAGAATCCTATTCCAAGTCGTTAAATAAATCCATTATAAATTCAATTTGAAAATTTGATTTAGAATCCTATTTAAGTAGTTGAATAAATCCATTAAATTTTGATTTAGAATTTGATATTGAATTAGTAACAATCGAAAATTTCACTTCTTCTGAAAGGGTTTATTGGTGAAGTTGTTTCTGGTATCCAATTCTAAAAAAATTGCCCTCGTCTATCTGAAATTCAATCCTGGACAGTTTCAGCAGTGTACTGCTGCAGGATTAGAGTGTACCATTGCAGAACTTTTTTTGCCCTGCACCTCCAAATTAATTTTGTAGTGTATACTAAAGCCTCAAATCTCAATTAACTCATCAAATTAAGTTCAAAGATGGTCCCTCTATCTATTCATTGATTAATTTAGACCCCAGGTCCTATAAAGTCACACTTACCTTTACCTAAGATGTGATTGGATCTCATTGAACATGTTAACATGATCTTAGACAGAGTTCCATCTTCAACTCCCAATCTTCATATTGTATATTGAACCGACCTTTTGGCAAGTGATCAACATTAATGGAGGACATTTTATTCAACCCATTACAACCTTTATTTTGTTTACAGAATTTGCCAACGCTATACATTGACACTTCATACTAAGAAATGTCTAGTCATCACCAAGTGTTATACCGTGCTGTAGTTTTTAATTGTCACAAGTTCTATGTCGTCTTCACTGACAACCTACTACGTGTTCCCAACTTGTTCTGGGTCTAACACGCCAATACATGCATTATTTGTTTTTTTAAGTGCTTGAGAACATATGCGGTCTGAGGTCTCAACTGCAATTGAGTCCAATAAAGTGTTTTGAAATGTTTTGGTAATGAATGCATTATAAGAATGAAAGGACCAAACAGAGTTTATTACAGAGATCTGAATGGCCTTTGATGTGTTATGATGAGGCTTCCGGGAACCACCTTTCTTGTCTATCTATGCATCGAACTTGTGCTTAAATTTTGAATTTTATTCTTGTAGGAATTATGTCGTGCAATTTGTCTTTGAGATTAATGTTCCTTGGGCGATACTGGATATTCTTCACCAGCTGGAGGGTAGCTATGGGGATTTATCCATGCAGAAATATAGCAGTAATGTGGTTGAGAAATGCCTGAAATATGCAGGGGAAGAACGCCGTTCTTGTATTATCCAGGAGCTGATAAATAATCCCCATTTAGAGCAAATCATGCAGGACCCTTATGGCAATTATGTTATTCAAGCAGCATTGGGTCATTCAAAGGTTAGAGAAATCCTCCTCAAACTTACCATGGTTTTTTGGGAATGTGTGAAAAAGGATCTTAAATTTTAAGTAGTCCCTAGTCATTTATCATTTTAATTTTATTTATTTATTGCATTGGGAAATCTCGTGATGTGCTGCATACAGTGGTCCCCCATCATGGTCTACTTATAGTTCTTAAGAACCTATGTCTTCCTTTGAGGCTTGGATGCGAGTTTGAAGCAGGGTGACTGTTGTGTGAAGCAGTTAAGAGAGACAAAAGCAGAATTTCACTTTAAAATGTGTGTGATGTGGGACTCAACGGCACATTTACTATAAATAGGCAATTAATGTCAAGATTTTAAGTGATTTTTTGAGTGTCGTGGCTAGCAGCTCTGGATGCAAAGCAAACCTTGTATTGGATCTTTTAAAAACCTTCAGAACCTCATCTCGCATCTGTTTGGTAAAATATGAAATAATGTGTTTGAACAAGTCTCAACATATTAGTTTTTGCTGGTTTCCCGTCTTTCAGAACGTGAACATGAATATAATATGTCGAGGAGAACGTCTATACATGTAATGCAGCTGAGTTTTATGTTCTCTTTTAAGCAGGGAGCCCTCCATTGTGCGTTGGTGGAGGCCATAAGACCCCATGTTCCTGCACTTCGCACCAGCCCATATGGGAAGAAAGTCCTCTCTAGCAACAGTCTTAAGAAATAACTTATGGGTATTGAATCATATAAATATATATATCTCAGTTTTTTAGTTTATCAAATTTGTTGGGATACTGCAGCTAAGTCTCTCTTTAACTGCAGGTCTTTTATTTACGGAGGATCGTGTAAATTCTGTAATAAACAGATCAAAGGAAGCTTTGAGATTGGGTTCTAATGTTCTTCTAATGCTTGAGTATTTAAGCTTTTGAAGGTATGGAAATCAGGAGGAGAAGAAAAGCCAGAGCTGCCTTAAACAGCTAATCTGACTTTAATTCAGTTCTTTGCAGTCTTTCAAATTTAATCCCGTTCTTATTATCTTAGAGGAATTTACTCTAGATTTTGTAGATATTTTTTTTGTTTTTTTGTTTTTTCGCATAGAAATAAATGAATTTTGAAGGTGTAGAGAGAGTGTCAAGAATGTGGGGGAAATTGTACTCCATCTGTGCTTTCTCATCAAATCTCTTGGCTTAGGGGTGTTTGGAGGGTGGGAAATATTCTAAGTTGCTTTGTTTTCATCCCAGGCATTCAATTTGTGATGATGTACATCCATTGTCTATAAATATCAATGATAAAGCCTGGTTTATGTTCTCTCTTTTATGGTTCTGTTATTTAATCTTGTATCATCCCTTTTGATTCTTCTTTTTTATGTAATTCATTAGAAAGTGGCTGAAATCTATATGTATTTATTACTGCATTGAATAAGTTATTTGCCAAAATTAATACATAAGAAAATGGGCAATTCAATACTCTCTCTCTCTCTCACACACACAATGTAATATGATTTAGTACACTTTGTAATATTATGCACGATTCAACTCCAATAAATTCAAAACCAGTATTTGTGAATGATGTATATTCACACTTTAATTTTTGCAATTTTGTAATAAATCAAATTAATATCATTACTTCTCAAAAGCAGAGTACGAAGGTTTTTTTTTTAAGAATTGTGTTGGAAAGTTTGAAAATGGGTCACATCTTATTATATCTATATAATGATATCATAAAAAAGTAACCAATCAACTTTCATTTAAGTAAAATATAATATTATTATATTCACAGTCCACTTTTTGTTAATACAGAATAATAAATAAAATGTTAAATTTGCCACTACAAAGTGGAGTAACTTCTAGAAAAAGACCGGTAGAGGTCAAGCGAATGGTGTGTGAATTAACATTTCTCATACTAAGAGTTATACTATCGTCACAAATTCACAATATACAATTATATATATAATATAATGTTATATAGAATATAAAAGTATATGCGGATATACTGTTATAATATATCTTCTATATTACTACGTATAACAGTACTGTAGTTTTCCCACACCTCAATCTAAAACCAACGGATAGTGACACGTGGCTGCACATAATTGCACTGAACTCAACGACCTATTAGAGCCACTACTTAACTGTAATCTTTTGCAACACCACAATCTCTCTCTCCGAAGACAATTCTAACCCAGTGGACACTAATTCATTCCAATGATCTTCTTCTCTCACCTCTGAACTCAAAACAAACAATAAACTTAGAGAGAGAGAAGAGAGAGAGGTCGTTCAACCATGTCTATAGCTCCAAGTAGCTACCCTTCTCTCTGTTCTTCACCACCATTGCCAAGAACAACCCTAACAACCAAGCAAAACCCATTTCAGTCTTCTCAATTCAAGCAACCTTTGTGCAAGAATCATCCCTTTTTGACCACTTCAATCAATTTTTGCAGTACCCATTTGGTTAGACCTTCTATTTTGGTCGTTAAAGCATCAGAAACTGAGTCCAAGACAGCGAAATCGGAGATCGAAGGCGAAAAAGAAGAAAAAGAAGAGTATGAGGTGGAATTGGACCAGCCATATGGGTTGAAGTTTGTAAAGGGCAGAGACGGTGGGACTTACATTGATGCCATTGCAACTGGGGGATCAGCTGATAAGTCTGGCAAGTTTACTGTTGGGGATAAAGTACTGGCCACCAGGTATTTGTTTCATTGTCTCAGTTACTTTCATTTTGTTGAATGTCTGTCTTGTTAGTTATTCAAACACTTACTTGTATATGTATTCATTGATATATCTGTATATTAAGAAAAGCTTGAATCTATGCACATTTTTCAGGAAATATATACTTGGTTAATTTAGTGTTATTTATTGTTGGAAGGTTTAAATGTATAAATAATTTACCCTGGTAAGAATTTTAATTATATAGAATGATTATTGGGTGTCACCCCCAGGGAATTTTTCCCTGTAATTGGCTGCTCCATGTGGCACAGGGACGATTTACTGGTGCTTTCCACGAATTTGAAGTACCAACAACTTGAACATGTAGACGATTTCAGGAATATCTAATAACTCCTTTGGAGTATAATCTTCTTTTGGTTTTGATTATCTACTGTATTCATGGTTGAGAATGTGACTAAGCAGTTTTCAAATATATGCAGTGCAGTGTTCGGAACAGAAATATGGCCTGCTGCTGAATATGGGAGAACAATGTATACCATCCGCCAAAGAATTGGCCCACTACTCATGAAAATGCAGAAGAGATATGGTTTGTTCATTGACCGTTCTGGCATTTACCCTTCATTGTTACATCAAACTTCAATAATGAGGCACATGCTCACTTGCAAATGCACAAACACATAAAGACGTTGAACTTTTAAAGACAAAATAACTTGAAATGACCATGAAATTCACAGCTTTTTCATATCTGATTGATATTCCATTGATCTTATACATTTTGGATCGCATTATAAGAGTGTATCCTATTACATCGTTGCCAGGGAAGATAGACGAACCAGGTGAGTTAACAGAGAAGGAAATTATCAGAGCTGAGAGGAACTCTGGTGTAATTTCTAACAAAGTGAGAGAAATCCAAGTAAGTTTATCCAAGCCATGCTGAACTTGCATCGTGTCACCATTACTTTCTTTTCTTCCCCTAATGTGAGAGCAACTTTTTAGTGGCTCAGCATCAATTTAGTATCTTAAACTTGCAATAAATTTCAGATGCAAAATTATTTGAGGAAAAAGGAACAGAAAGAACTCAGAGAAACGGACCTTCGTGAAGGGTTGCAGCTTTACAAGTATGCCCTATTAACTTGATCTTCTTCTTTTTTCCTTTTCGGTATAGTTTTCTTTTCGTCAACAACACCTCAGTCCATATCCTTCCATTCCAAAGTTTCAAATCTGTGTTTACATAATATACTAGCGGGATGGAGAAACCCCCATTTTGCACAGTTTTAAATCTAAAGCTGCCTTCTCTTGTTCTATTCATGTCTGTGATGTTCAGTGAGTGGTCATGCATTTTCTTTTCTTTTTTTTGTCTTGGCAAGAAACTCACACACCGACTTTGTCCCTATGGGGACTTGAACCCCCAACCTTCCACTTTGGAAGGTAAAGGGGTTACCACTAGGCTACAACTCTTGGTTCCTCTTTGTCATGTCAAGGGATCTACTTTTCAAATTTATCATAGGTTGTCATAGGATGCATTTCCCAATTTTCTCCACAACAAAAAAACTTTCTGATGCGTGGTGACCTGAGATGCCTTTGGGGGTCGTTGTCATATCTGAAATACCTTTGATGAATTGATGTCATAATTTTTTATTCAACTAACAATACTCGCTCACTTTGATAATTGATGAAGGAATGCCAAATATGAAGAGGCGCTGTTGAAATTTGAGTCAGTGTTGGGATCAAAACCAGACTTTAACGAAGCTTCAGTAGCAAGCTACAATGTTGCATGTTGTTATTCTAAGCTTAATCAGGTAATATTCTAGTTTCAAAACAATGTTCTTTTTCCTTGTGTTACCGTTCTATCCATTTTCAAGATATCAGCTGCTGCTAACATCCTCGTGCCTACCTACTTATGCAACAAGAAGACTGTTCTGTGATGAAAGAATTTCTTGTTAAAACCCTTAATAGAATTGATTGCCAAAAGAACAAACCCTGGGTTTGTAGGATGTACTGGTTATCATTGCCAATATTTTATTTTTTATTTTTATTTTAAGAAGATAAGAAGTACTACATGCTTTTGTGATGAGACAACCTTCAATGCAGAAAAGTGTCTCGTAATATGCCATTTTTGCTACAATTTATTTCATCGTGATAAATTTATATCTAAAATGAAAAAATCTTTCCATCAACTTCCTGTAAAAATGACCTGCTAATAAAAATAAATCATATCATCCACCCATTTATTCCACACAATCTACAGTCATCCATAAGACAATAAATAAAACTTCAATATATAAATTAAATTACGATACACATTATTACAAATTTAATTGTACGTGTCAATGTCCATCAAATATCCAAAGCAAAAAAATGAAACCAACATAATAAAAACCAAAAAGAAGTCCATGCATGCAACAGAGAAACCAAACCAGCATTCATATCAGTTATGTGAAATAAAACAAAATGAACTATATTTGGTTTTTTGTTTGATAATATAATATAATATATGTTACATGCATATATCACTTGGACAATAAAAAGTTTTATTTGTAAGAAAATATACAGTTGCATGTTTTGCAATCTAGTAATCATTTTTTAATAAAAAAATAAAAAATGCTAAATGTTTTGGCACAAGCTAGGTGCTGGTGGTGGTTTTACTGTGTGAAAACCTATATTGAACAATTCTGCTCCCAATAAATCCAAGTGGGGTTCCATCTTGAAAATTAAATTTGTAATTCCATAAACTTTCATGCATTTTTTAATCTAGGGATTCTTTATCAATCCGTTTTCTTGCATGTTTATTTGCCAACAAAGGTGCTTTTGCTATTTTGGAATGTTCAAACCTAAATTTGGCACTTTCACCCATGTGAAGTCCAAGTGGAGTTCTATTTAGAAACCAAGTTCCTAACTTCATATAGTTCCCACATTTTGTAATATGATGGTCTTTTGTCAATTTGATTTTTCTACAAGTTTGTTTAGGCATAAGTTGGGTGTTGTTGGTGATCACATGATGTTTGACTATTCAAGCGTATATTTGGACACTTTTCCCTTGAGAAGTCTGACTGAGGTTCTATTTAAGAAATAAATTTATATCTTCTATGCACTGCAGCCATATTTCTTGACATAAACAACTTCTGCAGTTTCTGTTTAGTGGAAAGTATGGCATGACATTTGAAAAGATCTTTTTAACCTTGCCTTGATCATACTTGTATCTACACACTACATTTTGAACACTTTTGTTCATCTTCATGCTTCTTTCAAAAGAGTACATAATTTATTTTACCTGCATGTATGGGATCTCCGGCACAAAGGTGGGTTTCAGATCCATCATTATGTTTTTATCCTTGTATTGGGAGTACGGCTAAGTCGCAGTCTCACTGCCAAGAAGATATTTGTGAACATTATTAACTAGTTTTATAAATGCTGCTAATGAACATCACTTTTCAATTGCTTAAATTTAAAACCCATTAGCTTTCTTGAATTTATCATGATATATTCTTTTTTTATTCTTTTATTTTGAAAAGTACTGCGCAACCAAGTTTGAAAAATGCATGTTCAAGTCAAAGAGATTGCAAAAGTTTAGGTTTGTGTCAAATTTACCCATCCTAGTATAATATCATATTGGTGGTTTTGACTCTAAATAATGGAATTTTCTATATGTTAAAAAATTCCTAGCTTCAACTAATCGTGGTTCATCATAAAAGACCAAAGTAGCTATTTCCTATATAAAATTATAGCAACAGATAAAATTAGCATTTAAAGCCAGTCTAGCACCAATGCAGGCTAGCAATCTTCTAGAACTCTATAAGACACCAATGAGGAAAAATGCTCTTGTATATTAAAACTCTCTCAAAGCATTCGGATGGTACTTTACCCCCAAATCTGAAGCAACAATGTTCCTACAGGAACATTCCTGAAATTAGCATTGGATTTAACTAAATGGCTATCACACAAGTATAAAGAGAAGTTCACAATACAATGAATTTTTTAGCTGTTTAGATGAACTTTTTACAGTAGTAGCCATATGCTGATACCAACTGTTCAACCACCAAACTTTCCCACCACAGTACTGTCACCTGCTCCCTTATAACTGAAGGTACGATGGTTTAACTTGGAATGTATTGTTTCTGCCAAGGGCATGAATGATTACAATATTGTTGGAGCAATACGACTGGCCTTTTCTTACAAAAATCCTTTTTGCACCAAGAAGACAATGGGAATTATCTTTAGGTAATGACAATTGGTACTAGGCAAAAAAAGAAGAGAAAAAAAAAAAAGGTAATGGCAATTGGTCCTGTTAGGTCAATAGGAAGTTGGAAAATTTCATAGAACAAAACTGGAGTCAGTAACTTCTGATTTTTATTTCTAACTTAAATTAGAAAATCAAAAGTTAGTGTTAGTTGTTACCTCCTACACTTGGTTGCAGAAGGAATTTCAAGCTCCTTTCAAGGGAATATGCCTAATCTTCTTCTACAAGGGGAATTTAACACATAGATGCACTCACCAAAATTAGGATTCATGCATTCATATTTAGGGTTTCTAAGTTTTACTTGATATAATCTTCTTTCATTCCTTGAATTTTTTCAAAACATACTATAGTAATTTTGTTTAAATTCAAAAAGTCAGTAAAATTTACTACTCTAACTTACAAGACCTATTCACCACCGCCACCCCTCCCCCAACTATCTAGGTCTAGATCACAGGCCTTAAGCAAATCTATATCAGAGCCTCAGGTTCTGGTCCTAAATATCTGGCGTAGAACTCTAGTATCACAATACAGATAATAATAGTTTATAAGAAGTAAAACTACACAATCATGCAACAACATACACAACTGATGGGGATCAAAATGGGACCCAGTCACGTGTGTTGCACATGATTTAGACCTACATGAGAGGAAGAAAACAAAGAAAGATCAAGGACAAAAATTCTCAATATTTTAATAATTCAGTAATCAATCATAAAGTACTACTATAAGAAGAACCTTTTACATCAACCTTTATTTATATAAGTAACCAAAGTATATTCCTAAATAAAGTCTACCGAACAGAAAAAGATAACTGTTGAATTTACCTTTTTCCTAATTTGTAGCTCAGGTTTGCTTATGCATATAGATTGATACACTGAAATTATTACATTTTAATTGATTGAGATTAGTACAGATTGGGTTTGCCCTAATTCCTCTTCTCTTTCTTTTCTCATCTTCTTCTCTTTATTTTCTACTGCTGCTGCATCTGATGTCAAGATCTTTTCCATTCCACATCAACATTTCACAAAAAATAAAATAAAATAAAATAAAAATCATACATTTGCTAATAGTTTTGTCCAAATAAACAATTTCTTTGAATTTTTCTTGAGTCAAAGTTGACGATATTAGTTTTCTTAATACTCCATCTCTAACATGACCCAAACTTGATCAATATCCCACTTAGCTGACCTAGAAAATTTAACCATTACTTGTGGTACAGAAAAGAGCAGTTGATAAAAGAGGGATGTTCTTGTTAAATTTTATTTCCCTAGAAGCAATTTATTGCCTTTTTTTTTCTTCTTCTTGTTTCAGATACAAGCTGGACTCTCTGCACTTAAGGATGCCATGGAATCAGGATTTGAAGATTTCAAGGTAATAAAGAGAAGAAAAGGAAAAGAACTTTCTCTGGTTTATTTTGAATAGCAATTCCATAAAATATCTAAAATTGTTGCCGGTATGACAGAGAATCAGGACGGACCCTGACCTAGCCAACATTAGAACATCTGAAGAATTCGAACCTCTTCTGAAAAGGTTCGACGAATCATTTATCAATGAGAATGCCATCAACGCCATTAAATCTCTGTTCGGCTTCAACAAGAAGTAGAGCCACACAGTTGAAAGACCCAACTTGGGAAATTCATTGATTTGAACTAGTATACCAGAATTGGCACAAGAATTGACCAAGCTATCTTGAGTCTCATAGAATCAGCTTTTCCTTTTATTTTGTTTGTAGATTTAGCTCAGGATGAGTTCTGAGAGAAGTTCAAAATATTTTTTTACCCAGTGATTGCCTATTTCAATTGTTTCTCCATCTAGGGTCTCTCATATGTAATTATCTGGACAGAAAAAAAAAAAAATTGAAGAAATAGAATAATGTTCATTGCAGTTACCTTGATCATCAACTGGTGTATTTTTTGTGCCTGCATATGCCATGCTTCAGTTTCACATACTAAATAATTTAGTGGGAAAATAACAAGTGATGATGTATATAGATTAACATTGCTAGATTACATTCAATATAGGAGAAAAAATAAAGTTTAGCTACTGTAAGTAATGGTACAAACATTGCTGTAATGCTTTCCCTCACCTTCTCTCGGGCATTAGCCTTGATGGTATGATCTCTTCGAGTGTTTGAGCCCTGATAGAGGCAAATATTGTGAGTGTTTACACGTTTGTTTGAACTTTCGGATAGTAAAAAAACAAAAAACTTTTGAAGAGTTGTGGTCTCCCCTCCCTCAAGAGTGACACATGTGAAGCACAACAATGAATAACTAGAGAGAAGAAAATGGAGGTAGATGAACAGTGGAGTTCATTCTTGGTGGTGGAGATGGTTGCTCTCATCTTCATCTTTGAATTTGGCCACATTCCATTGGGTTTCTCAGGAAGTTTAGGAGAGTATAAAAAGCCTATTCCATCAAAATTGGACCATATAAAACATTAGCTCCCCATGTATTCAATGGGTCATTGAATCTCATTGTCATTTTTTGAAAAATTATAGGATATAGTGGTTTCTTTCAATAAATACTCACCATTTTCTTCATTTATTGAAAATAATCACTTCTAAGAAATGTGAATGAACATCATATATTATCAGTTGTAAAAATTTGGTCATTTTCATATGTTGAAGTCAAAAAGGTAGATGGGCATGCTTAGAAGTGGATGTCTGCTGAGTGCCACATGTCCTAAAATATTGTTGCTGAACAGCCTGATATTTTTTCTAGTTAAGTTGTGATAGTGTAGTAGTAAGCCATTTGAAACCAATCATTTATGTTTGTTGTTTGTTTTTCTCTATGTTATTCCATTGGGACATTGCCCATCAATGAGGAGCATTAAATGAGCAGACAATTGCATTATATAGAACCCAAAAAGTAATCAGAGCACATTATTATGTTCCCTACTCAAATCTTTGTAATGCCCTAATATTTCAACATATTTCATTCTAGCTTGTTAAGAATAGTTTCTTAATCTAAGTGGGACTAAATTTATTGAATGCAGAGTGTTGGTTTGGGTATACTAATAACTTGGTATGTTTGACATATTAATAATTTTTTAGTGATACACAACTAATCTCTTTGAGGAGCTGGAATCATTAGTTGGGTGTATGGTACATGATGTATCACATTGGACAGATCCGGCTTCAGATTCTTACTCATATACGTGTGAGATCTCAGCTTATACACGTACTTGAGATTGTGTCACATATACAAGTGTTGAGATTTGTCCGATGCAGTACAGCACGTGATGTATTGCTTCAGACGAATCCCAGCTTCAGACTCCAACTCATATGTGTGTGGATACATGTATGAATGTTCGCACATTTAAATATCGAAATTCGTCCGAAGCGATAAAACACGTGCCGCAACGCTTCAAACGGAGTCCAGCTTCAGATTTCAACTCATATGAATGTTCACACGTGCAAGTGCACACCACATAAGTTATGTTATTCCGCAAATGCTTCTCGACAATTATTTGTTTTAATATATTCTACATCTTCAACTTTTTTAAAGCTGAAAATTAGAAAGCAACTCCATTTTCTTTAGCTTTTGGTTAAAGTTGGAGATGTAAATTGTTAACAAAAGAGAGAATTGCCTGCTGATGGACCCCCACCATCCAATTCTTTGGTAAAGATCTTTTGTTCTATCATGTCTTCAACTTTTTCAAGGTTTGGAAACTTTCTCTTCTTTTCTCTTTACCCTTTTTCAAGCTTTGTAACCCTAAACCACATCCTACCATATATGTCCTTGCTACCTTAATCCACATTCTTTTTCCTTAAGCTATGGTTGAGAGCATCGGATTGGCGCCAAGGAATTGAAATCCGATAAAATTTAGTTCAAAGTTTGAATTAAATTTTCTCAAATTCCAATTCGATACTTCCAAAAGCAAACATTAGCTTGATTTGGTGTAGCATTAGGCATAAAGATGTTTTGGCGCCAATTTCCGCTAGTAGAATCCATAACCTTTCCGTATTAGAATCATGCAGTTGATTGAGAAAGAATGAAAGAATACTAAGAACTTGTGTAGGATTTCATTATCAGTAGAAGAATAAAAACATAGTAGTATAAAGAAACAATAGTTTCACATTGTTACATAAGAATTGTCAGCTAAACTGAATTCTCAATAGAAAATTCTAAACTTTTGAGTGCAGAAGAGCCAGCATGTTAACAAGAAATGGAATTTGATTCTGATGCAGCTTCTTTCTAAATCCGGTCCCGAGTCTAACGGAATGTAATTGGGACCACAAAGCCTTTTCTAGTCAATTTTTTTCGTCGGTGTGATAACCAATATAGGGATTTGCAGAAGGAAGCTGGTAAAGCAGCATCAAAGAATGATACAAACACAGCCTCTATTGTCTTCTTCATTGTCAGTATCTCCTGTTTCACTGTCAACAAAATTATGGCAAATGAAAGAATAATATCAGGCTACATTTGTAACATATACACATTTTCAGAAGAAAATGAGAATCGATTTTCAAAATACAGTAATGCACTCTCCTTGACATATTTGTAAGATACTTTCCTCTGCCTAAAATATGTGAATGACAATTATGTTGCTTATTATTATTTAGTTGAAGAGAATAAAATTGGAAACAAAAATTTAGAACCAAGCACTAAAAAACAAAGGGTGCTTCTGCAACGTACTTGCCAAAATAAATAAATAAATAAAAGAATAAAACAACCTATTTGTGCACAGTATACCTGACACTTCATGACATTGCTTACCACTTGCACACTATGACAGGTGTAAATGGGATCTGAATTGTTTCTTAGTGAACATCAGTACAAAAAAACAAATCATTAAATTATAATTCCACTGATGCTCACATACCACTAAGCTACATCAGGAAAAATGTCTCACCAATAATCTTTCAAGTTATTCAGTTCCCAAAAACTGGAATGTAAGACTATCAATCTCAAGTTTTTAATTTGTATATCATTGAAACAAAGAAGTGAACACTACTTGGGATTTAGAGAAAATCAGCCATTCTCACTATTCATTGCAGTTTTAAAGGCCGTCCAAAATTCCGAACTGTAGGTTATGAGCAGGAAGAAAGGTGCATTGGACTGTAAGTTCACTGAGGGCACGTTTTAACATCCCATAAATACATGTTTTGACGTCCCATAAACAACAGATGGCAGTGTTATATTTTGCGTAACATTTGGAGGTAAAAATCCATCATTTAGTACTGGGAGTGTGAAAGATAACAAGAAAAATCATCACAAATAATATAGATATTTCTCAAGTGTCTCTGACCCAAAACATATTTGAGCTCTATCGCGTGCTTTCTCCAAATCAAGAAGTAAAGAACCACAGGAATTTTAATCCATTTCCTTCTTACTTCATCATTATATGTCTCAGAATATTACATAATTACAGACCATCCTGGAATAACGCCAAAATGAATTTCCACAATGTAAGTACTTTTACTTAACCTTTGCTACATCAATCTTTCTCATCACTTCATATTATAGCTTAAATGTTCGAACTTATATCTTTCATAGTGTGTACGAATGATAGATGGCTTCTTTCTTCTATTAAAAAGGGTTACCTCTCCAACACTTCTCCAAGCCTCACCTATTTCCCCCATCTCAAAAATCTTGAAAAATGTAGATCCAAATTGTTCTTCGCACGTATATCCACAATTTTCTTTTATATGAATACCATTTAGGCTAAACACCTTTGCTCAAAGGCCATTACTCGGTGGAGTCGTTAAAGCTTGAGTTACTACATGTGAGAATGGATTCGAGTCCGACAGCAGCTATTTTCCCAAAGGTTAAGGTCTCTACTTAGTTCACCCATTTGAGCATCCACAATTAAAGAGGACCAACTGCCTAATGGATCTTTGCTTTCTTCATCCTTGCAAGGACATCTTTCACGAAGTAATACCAATAGGTTGACGAACTAGAAGAGGAAAATCACTTAGTATTGATTGCACAAAAATTGGGAAAACAGGTATTCTAGTATGCTGTAATATCAAATATATTCACCAACTGCAGCAACTATTCTATCTTTATTTATTTGATAACAAAAATAATATAGGATTTGAGAAAATTACTATATCAATGTGTTACAATTATGTCACAAACTCCCTAAAGAAAACACCAAGACAAAAGTAATGCTTGGGCATTCTTGGCATGTGGAAATGAAATCAACAGTATCAATATACCAGTCAGTGGCATTTTTGAGGAGAAAGTTATCCTGGTGCTATACCGAGCAGATGACATAGGCATCTTGCAAATTTAAATATCAAGGAAGGTTCCTGATACTATATATGCTTTTGTAGATTTATAGGCGATTTGGATTCTTTTTGGATGGAGACTACTTTTTGAGATCCGGCATACCTCACATTTATGAAGTGCTCCCTCTAAGGTGCTTCGGTTATCATAAAACTGCTTATCAGGGGATAAAAAAGTATTCATTTCTCAAAATAAAGCACACGCAGCACAATGTTTCATTAACATGCTACATATGGATTAAAATCTAGGATTCCAAGGATGACCTATTACGTGCAAAAAGGGTAGCTAGAATAATATTTCTTGAACCTCTATGAATCAATTAACAACCAGATCTAGTACCCTCTTGCCTCACTTATAGATTATCTCATTCTCTCTTAGGTGCAGAGAATTGTCATCTCAGCAGATCACATTATCTACTCCTCAATGCATTACTTTCATAAATAAATAAATAGTGAATACAAAAAATGTACAATTTAACTCTTTCCTCATTTCCTCTACTTCATAAATATGATACTCAATTCAAAAACAACAATAGTGAATTAAAATCACTTCAATTATCAAATCACTAATGCCAGGATCTATAAAATTTTGAACCAAAAAAAGAACCCCAGAACAGAAAATCAACCAGTAAGCAAGATGGATACAAGAAATGCTCAATTTAACTCTTTCCTCATTTCCCATACTTCATAAAGTTGATATGCAATTCAAAAACAACAATAGTGAATTCAAATCACTTTAATTGTCAAATCACTATTTCCAGGATCTATAAAACTTTGTGCCAAAATAAATAAATAAGCAATCCCAAAAATTTTAAAATAAATAAATAAAAATAAAGGAACAATAGTCTAGAGAGAGAAAGAGGGCACCCACCTGGACTCAAATTCTTTGACCTCAACAAGCTCTTTCCCTAAATTGTCCATCCATTGCACTCTCTTCTTTTCAGCCTCTTTTGGACCACCCAATTCCACAATCCTCTTCCTGATACAGCTTTTGAGAACTCTCTGACTCTCTTGCTTCCCATCTAAGCTCTCTTCTTTGACCTCTGTGGTCTCACCAGATATCTGAGCACCAGAGGTGTCATCAACAGAAGACACAACTGTTGAAGGGACATGTGGGCTGTTCCCCAATTTCAATGGCCCAGGCGTGTACAGATGAGCAGAAGAGGGCTTGCAGAAGCAAATGAATGGAGGACAGTGGATCTTGCAAAACAAAACCCTCATGAAAATACTTTGCTTCATTCACAACTCATATCAAACACCACAACTCCATTTTCATAGCATCAATCAATCAACATAAATCTAAAACCATCACTTATAAACAGAGGAATTAGAAACACCCAACAAAGGAATTTAGAAGAAAATTCTACTAGATTGTGAAATTGTTGAGTCGTGAGTGTAATAAAACAGAGGAATTAACAAAATACCCAACAAAAGGAATTTAGAAGAAAATTATACTAGATTGTGAAATTTTTTGTTAGGTTTAATACCTGTGGTTCTATATCCATCTAAAAGATATACATATATATACAAAACCCATTGAGAAACATAAAAAACCAAAAAAATTCCACTGAATAACAACAACTCTCAAATCTTAGACAAAGAACCAAATTGGGAAAAATTTCGTCAAAGATAAGTGATTAATCAGTTGTTTTAGAAGAAAGCAAGTAAAACCCAAAAAAGACCTTGTTTGAGTTGTTTCTGATGATGAATTCCAGAAAGAAAAAAAAAAAGGGAAAGCTTTAGACTACAGGAGACACACCTCTGTGCGTGTTTGTCTGTGTGTGTGTGAGAGAGAGAGAGAGAGAGATAGACAGGAGAGGAAGAGCGAGACAAACCCAACTGTCCCAATATTCTATTATTGTAACCGTAGCCATCGTCCAATACTCAACAGTAACTGCCATAAGTATTTTATCCTTTATTTACCTTTTGAAATTGAAAAGTTGTTTTCTTTACCAATTAGCATCTGACATTTCTTTATATATATATATATATTAGTTAAAAGGAAATATATTAGTTAAAACCGGGTGTCTGAAAAAAGGCAAGAAGGAAGTCACATAAAGTGGGAACAGTAAAATTAAGTTATAAATATTGAGAATTTGAGCAAGAGCGCGCGGAGCGTGAGAGTGGGAGCACACTCGAAATTTGAGCACACGAATTCTTAGAGCCCCTCAAGAACCCGACTAATTTTTGAAGACCCGGAAGGGTACTTCCCCACCCGGATCGGATAAGTCAGTGCAGGAGTAGCGAAAGCTAATTACAAAAAACATTCAACGGGACTAGGTGAAGTGGATTATTTATATATGTTTGTATTTAATATATATGGTTTTATTTTGAGTTTGGAATAAAACCCAGAAGAAAATCTTTAAAAAGATCACCAAAGATTGAGTCAAACTGATAATTAGAAAAGAACATATATGCAGATACTAAAATTTTGTACAGTTTTTGAATAGAGTTTTTAAAAAGGTACCTGTATATATTGATGAACACCAACCCAAAAGCAAACTCAGCTTTTTTTCCTTTTTTTAATCCAACAAAAATAATGGGGTACACATCGCCACATATTTTATTACATATTTAAAATGTATATATTTACCAATAGGAATTGATATCGTACCTAGTGAAATAAATGCTTGTTTTAAGGATTATAATTGTTTTTATTTTATTGGCAAATGGTCTAATATGGGTTTGAGAGTTCAATTAATGATGGATCCTAAAAAAGTATGTGACACATATATTGCTAATTTAATACTTTTTTTTTTTGTTTTGTTTTACTGGATTGTTTTCAAGTGGTACCTTTATATTTATAATGATTAGTCATCAAAGCTTTCAAGTTGTGTTGCATGTGTGTTTATTCTTATGATCATGTGTCAAGTTACTCGTGGAATTTCTGATGTTTGAGGGCAAAGCAAAACTGTTGATTTTAGGGTTTATACCAACCCTAATTGATTTTAGGGTTTATACCAACCCTTCTAAATTGGGGAATTAGCTGTTTTTTCCTCAAATGGAAGCCTTTCTTGAAAGATTTAGAAGGGCATGAACTTTTTATTTTCCATTCTTTGGTAAATGACACACCTTTTTCTCACAAGCAATATTGATTTTTTTTTTTTTTTTAAATGGTAACATATAATGCACACTATTGGTTTATTATTATATGGTTTACCACTATCTTTTGATAATTATCAATTTGTGATACAGCCATGAAAAGCACAATTGACCAACAACATTATAAAATAGAAGTTGAGCATCTTCCCTTTTCTTTCCCTTTTGAGGCTTCTTGAAACCATTGAAAAATTTGGTTAAAAAAAAAAAAAAAAACATTTAAAAAAATGAAACTGACACTTAAAAGTTCAGGAGCTGGAGTTCAATAAAAATTTTAAGTAAATTATCAATGGCTATCAATGGCGTATTTAAGTGAAATTATTCATTAAAAGTTAACAAATTCAGTTTAAATTGCTGAATTGGTTTATCAAATATCACTTTGTAGAGTTCATGTCTAAAAATCAAACTTATGAATTAATAGGAGCAACTGAGTCATTTTAAAGTGATGACCAATCGAGTATCAAGAATGACATAACCAAGTGTTTCAATCTAACCCCATAAGTTTTCTTAATTTTCGTGACGTCTCACATTGCCCGGACTGGAGGAAGAAGTTGTTGGCATTTCTATGCAGACACATCTCCCAACAGTATAAACACATTTTGAAAACCATAGGAATGGAGAGTGTGCAACCCGGACAGCATCTACATCTACACAGAGTCTGTATCAGAACCAATTCCCAGCCATAAATGGGGAGAGAGTGCCCAAGAAAATTCCAAATCTCAGGCCCCCGGGGGCTTGGATGAGATGGGAGAGTTCTTGGATTGGGATATCACTGGTCCAGGTTCGAGTCTCTCCCCCTCCTTTATATCCTCGACTGAAATTGTTGCTAAAGTGTGGGACCATCGACAGCATCCCTGATTTGCAGCCTGGGGTGGGTCCCTAAGCGGCCCTACCCAGGGGAGTTCCGGTGCCAACCAAAAAAAAAAATTCCAAATCTCAGGATTTTTCATTGATCATGAGCAGAAGATTTCTTTGATTAACTGAGAAAAAAGATACACACTATCCCTCTTAAAACTTGATCTTTGCTGTAGAAGTGTTGCCCATCTATCGCAACACTATAATAAGGTGGCCCTAGGAAAAGAAAGACAATGCAACAACAAAATATGCTGTATGTACAAGGCATATACTGATAACATAATCACACTCACGCAATTACTTTGTTACACTATAGTAAGCAGAATACTAAACCAAATATATATATATATATAAAGCTACTCTTGACATTCAATAGAAAATGAAAAATTATGATTATATAACCATCCATAGGTGTTACCTAAGGAATGACAATGACTCCACCTAATTACCACAAATTTAAGCAACAAAGATACAAGACTAGGGGGGAGAGCTTGACAGAGTCAACAAGACCGATGAAATTGGAAGAAGAAATGACATACACAAACTATTCTAGACTCTCGACTGACACGAGACAAAATGACACACTGACAACTTTATTAAAATTCGACGACAAGGTATTGGTCTATGGGATATATACATGGAGAGAGATGAAGCTTCTGACTATGGATGAATGGGGTCCTCGGCATTTATCTCCATTTCGATATCTTGAGAGGAAAATGTGTGTCCATCTGTGACCGGGCTCTGCATGAGAGGAGCAGAAGAAGATAACCCTAACCCTAGGTCCATCTGCCCCTTTTGGGGTGCATCACTTTGCTCTTGCAGCTGAGAATTGGGCACGCTGTTATTCAGCTGCTCCTGTGAACAAAATTACACAGAGCATTATTAAGCTTAATCATGATAATTTATCAAATTAAAAGAACCAGGGTCAAGGTGGTGCAAAAGAGACATGTTAACCCGTAAGTTAGCATATTTTTCTAGATCTAAGCTTCCTATATTCATTTAGCAACCTCTCGACTAAGTTTTTCACGTTGCTCTAGTACCATCATCTTTTACTAAAACACTAGAATCCTCACTCTTGATGCGGTTAACATCTCTAGCTTTCCTCCTATAAGAAGACAACCAACCTTAGCAGGAACAGATGTGTCGAAAAAAGAAAAGCTAAACATTATGCAAAAAACCTGCAGATAGGTGCAAATATCAGCCACAGTGACAATCTTTCCTTCTTGCTGCTTCATTGCCATCCAGTCATTCATTTTTTCCTACAACAATCAGAGTACAAAAGGGCAACCTTTGTGATAATTATATTCCAAATTTTTATTTTTAAACAGAATAAAAAGGCCAATTTATAAGTTACCAATCAAACTGCAACTTAAACAAATAAAGAATAATAATAATTGATTGCATTAACTTGATAAAGTAAAATTTTAATAAAGCAGTCTGACTAAATCCTATCAAGCAATACCTTTACCACCAGCAGTAGCTTATTTTTCTTATTTTTTATTTATTTATATTTTTGTGAATCTAATTTATCAACATGATCACCATGAGTGAACCTCAAAGGAAACCAAGACAATATGCCGATCTACATGAACAATAAAAAATTAAAAAAAAAAAAATCTACAGATTGCATTTTTGAACTGCCTAGGCAACATTAAGTAGATAAGCTGGATAAACTTTTGACCTCAAAGTTATGTTGATCATATATACTTCGATACATTATATATATATATATATATACACACACACACATATATATATATATTAGAAATTTGTAATAAAAGTATCAGTATACAGTTAAGATGTACTTTTGCATAAACTACGTGCATGACAAAGCATGAAGCACAGAAAAGTGCTTCTAAATGAGTAACTCCTACTCTTCCTTTATGCTGGAGAAGGAGATTCTATAATTAATTATCTCAATACACCCGCAAGCCTGTTTAAGAATTGGGGAACTCGGTGGCAAAATGCATCAACTTTGAATGTTGGAATGGTAAATGTTTCTTTTGACAGGCAAACAGTGAAGAACTTGCCAACAAATATAGCAAAAGCTAAACAGATGCAAAAAAAACTGTGATTTCCTTGCAGGGACCTATAAAAATTGGAAGAACAATTGCCTTCCAGTATTGATGTGTTTTCAGAAGTGATATAACCCACAAAGTTTGCAGACTACGAGAGGAATGAAAAATTATGTAATGTAAGAAATAGATAATTGCCCTAAAAGCATGCTATTCACGGATTGTAGGTTCAGACTTCTTCCAAAGGCTATGAAGCATGGACACGGACATTGGATATAGACACTAACACGATACGGGTACAACGATACAACAGGTACTTAAAAGATAGAATATGGATGGACATGATAATATATATATATATATATATATATATATATATATATATGGTGGTTATAAAGAGATGTATAAAAAGTAAATATGCATGTGCCTATTTATAAATTTAAAAAATAATGCTTTGCCGTGCTATATACTACCAACATTCTATTATAGTTCGGTAAAGTGCAATAAACCCCCCTCAATTATACCCCAATAAGCAAAAAAAAACCCTGAATTTCTAAAGTAGCATAAACGATAACCCCCCCTAAACTATGTTGTTTGGTTGCACTTTACCCAATCCGGCAACCGGACGATGGATTTTCAACATATGCCTTGCACGTGATAGTCCAAATTTCTCTAAATGACCATATAGAGCCCTTATGAAATGTAAAAGACCATAATAACCTTTAAAGACATTTGAACCCAACTAGTATCCAAACAAGCCCAAATGTTTCGTCCTTCTTCCTCGTCAATCTGTAGAGTATATCTGTATCTGCCTATATACACACACACACACATATATATATATGTTGTATGTTTTACAGAGAATGAGTTCCTCTGTAGCTGCCTATATATGTATACATCATTTAATTTTGTTTAATGGAACCTCTTTCTCTCTATATATATATAGGTCGTGTGCACATGCCAGTCCATATTCATGGCAAGTTTTCATCTGGAATATGAGAAATTTGATTTCAACAGTAACATAACTGATTCTCAACCCCAATCACAAGCAAACCCAATCGCAAATTTTAACCCCAATCGCAAAATTCTCAACCATCACCAAACCCACTCGCAAAGAACTGATTCGCAAAACCCAATCAAAAGTAAACCCAATCGGAAAACCGCCATGAATATTTTATCACCGATCACCAAACCCAATCGCAAAATTCTAAACCCATCGCCAAACTCTTTGCAAAACCGAATCGAAAACACAATCACAAACAACTCAATCAGAAAACCCCATGAATATTTTATCACCGATCATCAAGCAAACCCATCGCAAAATTCTCCACCCATCACCAAACCAATATAACAGAAATTTAATTGACAACATCGCTGCTACAACAGCCACGTCGGTGGGTCTCTTCGCCGAAACAACATTCTGAAGCTCAATCTTCCCCAACATTCTCTTCTTCTGCAAGTTTCAGGTTAGCCCTCACCAAACAATTTCAGAGAGAGAGAGAGAGACGTATAGTAAGAGTGGGTCTCTAAAAAAAAAAAATAATACAGTTGCCCAATCTTGAAGCTCAATCTCAATCCACAATAAAATACCATCACTGTTGCTGAATCTAATGCGGTCATCTGTCATTGTTATGCAAACTCTGAAAATTCTTCAATTGTCCCAACAATCTGTAATTGAATAATTATACAAGCTAACGAGTGATATAGATCTATATACATACATATATATAGCCAGTGAGGGAGAGAGAGGCGTTTATTTGGGGCAAGGTATTTTGTTTTTATATTTATCGTGGGTCACTTCTTGTGAAGAAGATGAACAGTATTACAATATGTGTGTGTGTGTGTGTGTGTGTGTGTGGTGAGGGGAGAGATAAGGTTGGGTGTCAGTTATTTTGGTAAGGTTGGCTAGGTGTCGACATTTTACTGGATGTTGTGATAAAGGGGTCCCACATAATTTCACCATTTAAAACTTATATCTCAGCCTAAAACGCCACACTTTCACTTAAAGGGCAAAACGGACTTTATGAATTTCCGGTGAAGGAAGGGAAACGGAATAACACTCTGTGTCCCAAGACTAAACCAAAACCATAGTTGAAGGGAGTTATTTGTAGTACAAGGGGGTTAGTTGCACTTGGGGTATAGTTGAGGGGGGTTTAGTGCACTTTACCCTAAAAATAATAATGACAAGCAGGTTGCAGTTTATTGCATCAAAATAAACTTCGGACTAAATTGTACAAGATATGTCCCATTACATCTCAACATTTTTTAAGAAAATCCAAGTATTTCAAACCCTTGTTGTAAGAAGTTACACTAAGAAAGCATAAGTATTTCCAACTCATGCAAGCATCAATGTTTGAAGGCATGTGCTTCTGGATGCAATTTCAGTAAATGGGGCAAGATGATGAAGACCATATGCATAGGAAAATCTAGGGAATTCCTCCAAGTCTATGCCCATTGACAAGAAACAACATGTATTGTCCTCTAATAAAGGAACGATATAGTAAACCTTAAAGAGATTCCATAGTTGATCCACATGTCAGGAAAATGTTGTGCCACATGAGTCAAGGAACAGTTGTCACGTTGAGACTTTCAGGGGAGCCACGGGTAAATAAGCAAATTGTGATGTGTTGTAAGAGAGGCCCTGTGCCTAAACCATCTTATCAATACTGGGTAGTAGGTGTTATACTTGGAGGTCTCAATATGCAACCAATGTTACTAATAAGCCTTAGCATTAACCATTCTTATTTAATTTTTTTATAAAAAATTAACAACCGATGCTTCATAAACAGCTTAACTAATAGCTCAACTTAAAAACAATATCCGTAACAAAAAGCACTTAAAAAAGCCAAATATCCCTTCCTTATCCAAATACTACATAAATATAATCTTTCATGCAACGTCCTTTTTTAATTTTTGGAACTACCAACTAAAAGGTCAAGAGGTCACTCACTATTACCATATTCATAAATAGTTTACACACAATAGAAACCCCATAGAACTCATCTCGACAAAGTTCTAAAACTTTTTATTGCTAATAGATATGACTGGTATATGCATACAGGTGCACAGTATGTGTTAGGTATACGTTGCATTATCACATACAAGATTAAACTAATTTACCATTTGTGTGATGTTTGGTTGGGGAGTCGTTTTGTTAGAAGAGATGAAAAACTCTATCAAACTAATCAAGGCAGTGCATGCCCAAAGCACTCTGTGTGCATGTGTGTATAATATAAAAAGAGTTGAGAGAAACTTGCCATCACCCTCTCTACAAGATGCTTGCTTAATGCATGGAAAAGCTAAAAGAATAGGCAGACACTCAAATATAGAGCTGGAAATATCTTTGTTTTCTAGCAGCTGGGCCCCGATGATGCAAGAATGCCCATGATATCATTAGCTATGAATGATAAGATTGGAATGGTCAGTAAAGAGGAATCTCAATTTTTTCTTTTTTTCTTTTTCTTTTTCTTTCATGGATAGAGAGGGTTGCATATGTTTGTTCGGTCCATAATTCTAGTCCATCCTTCGGTTTGCCCTACAAGAGAAGAGGGGAATAAAGAGGAAGAGTCCGCTTCACTTTTGTGCACCAGTTAGACATGGATTATTTTCCTTCTTCTCCATTCCAAGTTAATGTTTCAACACGTATATAGTCTTTGATGGAAGGACATAACTAAGTTCATGTCATCAAATGTATTCCCGGTAATTTAACATTATAAGGGACTGCTGATACTTATTAATTAGTTTCTCAAATCCCCTTTTTCATTCCAAGTTGATGTTTCCAGCAGGAGAACAGTTACATGCTACTCAATAAGTTCTTTTAATTGATTTATATAGTCATATGCTTTATAACTTAAATTAAAAACAAATTGTGGCAAAAGGTAGCATATGGAGAGGCAGACCTACCCACACACGCCAAGGCAATTTGGCAACACTAATCCCCATAAATTTTCATATTCATCCTTCTCTTTGATCACCCTTTCTGTGATATCTGTTCTTTAACATGCAGTTGTTTGAGAGACAAGTTGAAAGCCTACCCTAATTAAACTCTTCGAGAAGACTTATCAAAAAAAAAAAAATTAAACTCTTTGAGAAGTAAATAAATTTAACTACTGCATCAGCTGAAAAATAGTGGTCCACATCAACTAGTCTAAAAATATTCCAAAGAGAAGCAGGAACAACATGTCCCCCTCCCTCCCCCCCCCCCCCCCCAAAAAAAAAAAAAATTAAAATCAAAATAAATAAATGAGAGTGAGTGAGAGACTAACCAAATTCCATTCCAACTATTTGGCGTAGTTTAAATAACAGTTTGGGATCCATCAATGTACTTCATTTTTTGCCCTTCCCTTGTCCTAGGAAATCCTTCAACTACAAACATATTCTCCCTTTTTGTTGGTAAATCATACGTCTATGTAGCACATGGACTAACCATCATAGCTATTCCCCCTACATTGTCACTTCTAGTTTTCTGCAAAACGCAACGCTTCAAATTCTATCTTTTCTTGTCATTGTACTCATTTATCTCAGCATCCTCATCTCAATTGTGTTCAGATTGCCTAACACTTATAACTACTCTGGAACTTATAATTACTAATCATGGGTGTAAACCTATAGCCACGTTTATTTTTTATTTTTTCTAAATAAGGCATGACTCTGTTCAATAAGAAAAAAAGGGCAATGCCCCCAAAGCTCATGGGGCAAACTTCTGTCATGCAAGCTTAATGCCCCACCACGACAAAGGAGGTTGCGCCACGCAAGCGCTAAGGAGGACTCTGCATGACATGTGTAAAGAATATGATTCTAAAGTCTTCCAGAGCTGGGTAGAGAATTGTGGAATATTAAAGGATTCTAGAAAGTTGTAGTAATGTGTAGAATAGAGAACATTTTCTAACAAAAGGAGAGTAATGTAGAGTTGTAAATATCAAACATGCTAGAGAATTAGAGAGTAATGTAGAGTTGTAAATATCTAGATATTTTAGAGCAGTATTCTAGTAGGTAGATCCTAACCGTTTATTGTAATGCATCTTAACCATCCATTAGGGAGGAGATGCCTATATTAAGGGTTGGAGCCTCATTGGTAAACAACTAGTTGTGAGAGTTGTGCCTTAGCCTCCATATTAATCAATATTAAGAATAAATTATCATCTAATAGGAAAAAGTTCACACACAAGTTAAATGGTGCATAATTCACTAGTTATGCTTGCAAACAGAATTTCAATCCATAAATGACACTTAAATTCATCCACGAGTCCATTACAAAGGAGGTAAAACTTCATTAAAATGATGGGCTTAGGAGTTAAGGAAATTTAATGCTATTGTTAAATTCAAGTCAGTAAATAAAGTGAGCCTTCAATGTAACCACATATATTCTTCTTTTTTTAATTTTTCTAATTTTTATTATTGAAATTATATTTTTATATTCTGTTCGTATGCAGTTCCATATTTAATTAAGGTTCATGACCAAAAAGCACTACTACTCAGGAAAGAAAAGGGTCAAGTTTTGCATTACGAAAAAAAGCACAAACCGTGAGTAAAGAAAAGGCTCAAGTTTTAATTTTGTCCTAGAGAAAAGTTTAAACTCTTTAACAATGCTATGGGGTTCATTCAATTCCATTCCTTGCCGCACTCTACCTTGCCCAGATCTTCACTTGCCTTGCCCTCTTTGGAGTTATATTACAGATTTGATCAAGATTCCCCGCGTTCTTAAGATAAGAGGACAATACTCTGATACCGGTCGCTGGTTGATTAGACTTGCCTAGTAGGTCTCAAGAATTTCACTATTGACTTTAGTTTACTGTATTTCAGATGGAGTCTTGACATGTAGGCGCTTACTCTTGCATGGGCTGTCTAGGTCGTGTCACCCATTAGGAGATAGTCCAAACCCACCAAGATAGCCATTTTGATCAAAGAAGGTTCATCATCAGGTTCATCAAAACTAGGATCCCACTTGGTCCTATTCGCCAGCAAACTAACACCCTATCTTCCGTTCCGCTCTTTAAACAGGAAGACATAAGAGTGGACGTTCCCACCCATACAGATCTACCAGCCAAGCAAATGTTTGGGACGAGATACCATCGGGGCTACCACGTGCCGGGGAGCGTTGGATTGAAAGCGACTAGTATACACAACCGCACAAAGAGGAACTTGAAGAGCTGTTTGGTCTGGTTAGATCGGTGCCATAGATATTGGCACTCTAACCAGTGTAGAACGATGTCTTTCTCACCCAGCTCATCTATTTCATACTATACTCCCAGGGCATGCTTGAGAACCGCTTCTTGCAAGCTATTTCCTTTGACTCAATTGGTAGAATAAGGCTTATGTGAGGGGCTTATGGGTAGGTATCTGGGCATATCTTACGTGGTGGGGAGAAAGTCAATTGTCTAGGTTGCGAGCTCCTTGTATCAACTAAAACGATAGGTGATGGCTAGCTTGCCTACCTTCTCAGAGCACCAGCTTCAGTAAACCATATGGAGCTGTCTGCAGCAATACCTATCTAGTAGTTGCTTGTCTCTATTTCTAGATCCTTTCGGTCTTCTATCCTCGCCTTAGGTTCCTATTGACTTCTACCTCATCAATATATTCGTCTAAAAAAGTGAAATTGAGGTTTTTCTTAGCTCCTAAGCTATGTGTTTATTGAAACTTTTTTCATCTCGATTTGCTGTAGAGTTTTCAAGTCTTAAGACTTTTGTTGGTTCATTTTCTTTTTTCATCCAAGCCCGGAAACAGAGGCAGGCTTCCATAGTATCTATAGAAAGAACACTAGCCTACTCGGCATCTTTGTCACAGGCAACATAATAGAATCCTACATCTTTTAAAAACGAAAGAACATCGGCTTAGGGACTACTTGTTGGGTACCGATTAAATGTCACTTCTTCCTATCTATTATGGCTTCTCCCGCCTGTTCTAACTAAGGGGTCAATCTCCTCTCCTAAGAGAGTGTTAAAAGCCGACTCGCCCAAGCTCAATTAATGGCACCTCACCTCGGGCTAGCTTTGAGTAAGGATAGTTTATCATCAAGTAATTCCATGATCATTGAATTGCATGGTATGGTGTAGTGAACAAAATAAACCCAAAAGAACTTTACTATATCAGTTGACTTGACTCTGATATTCAGCACTTATTGCTTTTGTCACCATAACAAAGAATTCAGGGACTTTTGATTACTTACATCACCAATAAACATCATCCTCTGCTCATCCTTTTTGACCTTCTCGGTGGGGAATTCATAGGAGAAACCACTGTTTTCAGCTTTTAATGAAAGATCCATCATTCACAAATACGATAACTAATTTCAACGGCTTTCTAATAATGTGATCATGTACCGCCATTACCATAATATTGACAAGGTAAAGAGAACAAAGTTTTAGCCTTTAGGCTTCATAATCACAACAAAATACTACCACATAAGAGAAACCACCGTTTTCAGCTTTTAATGAAAGAACATCATTTCATTTTTCAGAGTATTATTATAACAATAGTCAATAACTAATTCCAATGGCATCCTGATAATGAGATCATCTAACCCTATTACCATAACACTGACAAATAACAAAGTTTTAGGCTTCATAATCACAACAAAATACAACCACATACTTGGAAAAAATCATCACTATCAAAAATCACTCATTAGTAGCTCCGATTATAACAGCTTCACTAAACCTCTTCTTGATAATATTGGCAAGGTGTATGCATTAGAGTTGGGGTGTCCTAGTTACAAGAAAAAAACAACCAGTAACTCCGACAATAAATCGTTAGGAATCCACACTGAACCCGCATGCAAGTTTGTAGTGCCTAATTACAATATACAATTTGCATCAAATAATATCACCATTCCCAGACTTAATTTTAATGTTAGAACAAAGAAGTTTTAGTATGAAACTATTTTAACTAGAAAATTGAAATTCACCGGTTCCAATAAATGCATCCTAAACTAACCCCTGGGATAAATTAAAGCAGAAATGTAAAATAAAATCATTAGCATTAAACAAGTTTATCATGACATGAAATTAAAGCATGCAAGCACAAAAAGAGCGATTTACCTCTTCAATCAACATTTATAGACAGCACTTGAAAAATAAACATAAAAAAAAATTAAAAAAAAATTGAAAAAAAAAAAAAAACCAACATTTATAGACAATGCCTCAAGTAACCAATTTGAAAAAATAAAAATAAATAATAACAAAGGGGCACTTTATAAATTCAATCATTATCATAAATCATGTCAGCAATTGAACAAACTGAACTACAAAATGACAAACAGGTATTGATTGAATTCAATTGATATAATTGAACAATAAAGACAATGAATCACAAATGGGTACTAAATAAATTCAATCAGCATCATAGAGGAGCCTCAAATGATCAAATTAAACAAGAAAGACAATGATCAGAAATGGGTACTAAAAATATTCAATCAGCACAAAAAGACAAGCCTCAGATGACCTAATTAAACAAGAAAGAAAGTGAATCCCCAAATGGGTACTAAATAAATTCAATCAGCATCATAGAGGAGACTCAAATGATCAAATTTAAACAAGAAAGACAATCAATCACAAATGGGTACTAAATAAATTGAATCAGCATCACAGAAAAGCCTCAAATGATCAAAAATTGAAACCAAATTGAAAAGTAGGGGAATTCAAGATATGGAAGTCTCACAAGGGCATGTCTTTGTCCAGCACCAAAAACAAGCTTCTGATAACTGAGAGCTTGAGAGTATAGCTGAGAGAGATGATTGGCTACTTTCCTGAAATTGGTATACAACACTCTATCATTCTCATCAACAACACTGACCTCCATCTTCCTCTTCTGTGCCATTTCTTCTCTCTTATATTCCTTTCACTCACACAGATGCTCTCTCTCTATCTTTGAAGTCACCAACTCTTCTCACTGGCCCACAAAATCCCCACCATGGTTCATGGTGCATATAGAGAGAGAGAGAGAGAGAGAGAGAGAGAGAGAAGTAAAAAAAAAAAAAACTATACCTATAAGTTAATAATTATAAATAAAGGAGTTAATAAGAACAGAATTTTGTTTTAGATGAGAGGTGCAGTGTTTTGGTCCAGATGGGGGAAAGGGTTGTGGAGTGATGATTTGGAGAGCAACAAAAACACCCATAAAAATTAAAAACCTCTCTCTCTCTCCTCTCTCATCTGTCAGGAGAGAGAAAGAGGGTTGGGATCTGTCTGGAAAATGGATGGAGATCAGAGTCAAGTATGTCAGTGTCCTTAATATATAGGATTCGCTGACAGAGAGGACTCTCAGTAGCACTGACGCTGGTTAATGAAAACGTTTTCAACTGTTAATGCGGAAGGGTGGGTGTGAACCGCACCTTAGCACTAAAATGCACTTTAATATGCAATGAAAGTTCATCTTTTAGGTAGGGCATTACTTTGCCAAAAAAAAAAGGGTAGGGCATTACCGGATCAAAATCTTCTACAATATAGTGTATCTGTTCTAATTCATAAGAAATTGTTGGGATACACGTTGAAAATGTGTTGGGATACATATTGTTACTTACATTTTTATAATATGTATCACTAATTCTCTTTCATCGATTGAGACAAATACATTTTAATCGGAGGATTTTAATTCAGTATTACCCGACTTAGTTGATCAGCTCTATGAGATTGTGTTGTTTATATTCAAATTCCCTTTCTTTTAATTTATTAAAAAAATAAAAAATAGATAAAAGTTTAATAAAAAATTAAACACCCTCTTGTAATATTTATATTGAAGATAAAATATTATGGCATGAATGATGTATTTTCGGCATAAGAACATTCGTGGAGTCCCGTTTTCCAGCCAATTCAGACTTCAATGTTTGAGTAGCGTTGGGGGTTCAAAAGTTATTCATGGTTTCAAAAGCACAGTTGTACTTTTGTTTGATAGCACAAATAAATACTATTATATTGGCTGTAGATATTTTGTTGTTGCAAAACTTTTAGCTCAATTTTGATATATATTTTTTAAAATTAAAGGAACAGATGTAGTCATTACACGTTACTGTCTCATTGGGATTTTAACTCTTCACTTCCTATTAAAAAAATACAGTAGTATTCAATTTTAATATATTTTTTTTTACATCACAAAACTTTTGGTTTAAATTCAATAAGGAAATTCACGGAAAATGCCTTGAATATTGCATTTTTTTTTTACTAAAACCATCCAACCGAAAAGCACTTCTTTAGGAACCCTAATAAATGTTAACCAGTGAAAATAATGGAGGAAGAGGAGAAGGAAGGAGAAATTGAAAACAGAAGGAAAATTAAAAGTTTATTTTATTGAGTGCATGGTTTGGGTGCAGATGATTGTTGAATCAAGATCTTCTTTGAGTGATATTTTAGGTCATGCGCTAAATGTAAATCGATAATGTGACAATTTTAAATCGACAACACAACAATGTATAAAATAATCGTTAATGCAATAATTTTAAATCAACAGCATAACAATCCGTAAAATTCAATTTAATAATGCTGCAGCGCGACAAGAAGATGTAATAATTCTCAAATCCTTTGTGACATCATGAGTCCATAGATGTTGCATCTGTGATGTAGGCTACAATGATGTAGTGTGCTTCACTATCTAAAGTGCACTGGATGTCACCACAAATAAAATCATATCCTCACAAGCCCTTGAAAATTGCTCACTTTGAAATGGACACTTTTAATAGGCTGAGAGTGATTTAGGAGAAAAATGGTAAAGGCAACATTTGGTGTTCTATTGCATAAATGGTACGCCATTCATAATACAGATCATATATTAATAAAAAGTTATTTATTTTTTAGCAAAACCAAAAATATTAAATTAAAATAAAGTGAAATACTGGAGGAAGGATTTCCAAAATAGGTAAAATCATTACACAAATTTGATAATTCAACCATTTTGAATTCTCATTTGGCTGAATGTATCAAAAAAAAAAAATCTCCAAGCAAATAAATAAATATTATGTGTGCGTGTTTTCCTCAACATAGTACATTTTACAATAATGATCTCTTAACAAAAGTGCCTTTCATAAATAAAAATATATGTAAACAAATGGACAAAAATTTGCACTTCTAAATATGATCTTAAAAATGTAAAAATGCAGCAGTGGTCAAACTTGGCCATCTTCTGGTTGCATCTTTGTATCAAACAAGACATTGGTGGAAACAGCCACCTTAAAAAAAAAAAAATGCAACGACTCCTGCCGGCAGTAAAATCCTCTTCGAAAAAATTGGACGCATAATTGTGGCACTAAAACTCTCTTTACTTCAATACGATCCAATATACATTTGTTGTACACCTACTGCTGAAGTTTGAGCACCGGGAAAGCAATAACATCACGAATACTGGCAGAATTTGTGAGAAGCATTACTAGCCTGTCGATTCCAATACCCTGCAAATCAAGTCTTTTTTCATTAGTTTTTGTTTAGGAATATATATCACAATATCAAATGTGCATAAAAAGATTAATTTAATGCAATACCACAACTATCAAGAGTACTAGAAAGTTGCAAATAATTTAAGAATCATTAGCAATTTGTATGATCTGATATAATTTGTGGATTATTTGATATTAACAACATAACATCGAGGTATTATTACAAATAGAAAACCCAAAAATAGTGTGTGCAAATTCAAGTATAATCATATACAAATTAAGAATGCAGTATCTAAACAAGAAGAAATCAACTCAGACAAACCAAGTACTTGGTGTTGGTCTAATTTCTTAATAATTATCAAGGATGTCCTCTGCTATACTATTTGTAAAAGAAGAAACTAAATGACCGTACCATTCCTGAAGCGGGAGGCATTCCATATTCCAAAGCTGTTATGAAATCATCATCAAGAGACACTTCATACAAAACATCATCACCTCTCTTTCCTTCCTCTTCTGCAGAGTCCGTACTTGAAACTGCTTTGGCTCTCCTCTCATTATGCTGTCTCACTTGTTCTTCCAAGCGTCCTCTCTGACATCACTCAAATTAAGAGAGTTAGTGTTTTTTATGCTTTTGAATTAAAACCAACATACTAGCAGTTTTTCAAGATGCATTGTAAGAGGATCATGCTAAGAATAAAAGACAATAGGTGGTCAACCTGGTACTGGTGCTACAACAAAATTTAGTTTATTTTTTAAAAAAATTTCCTAGTTAACAAAATTAAATTTATGCTGTATTGATTTTAATATTAATTTTCCTTCCAAGGTTTTTCTAGGAAAAAGTATATTGTTCAATATTCCAGCCCACACCCAGATTCTTCACTTACAACAAGCATTTACATACGAGATTCACACTGACTGCTGAGTAGGAAACAAGAACAACTACTTCATATTGGCAGTTTAAAGTTACAAAACATTCCCTCCCTGATTATATAAACCTGCTTTTCTTTTGATGTTGCTTCTTTTTTATATATATTATTATATGCAACAGCTGTATCTATTTCAGTATATGGAAAGACTATGACCAAAATAAACAACAGAATTTCCAGAGTACTTCAATTTCCAGTTATTTGAACTTTCTCATTAAGAAATCAACTTGGCACAATTACTGATTGTTCTCTATGAAACACTGTAACAGGTATCCATTATTTCTATAAAAAAATAACTCTGACATATTTTTCAGGAATTATTTATATTTTGCTCCCCATTTAAGACAATAAATTTTATACCATGAAGCTTCATCGAAATTCATGTTTAATCAACAAGAGAGAGAGAAGGAGGAGGAGGAGGAGGAGGAGGAGGAGGAGGAGGAGGAGGAGGGGCATAAAGATTCACAACTCTATCAATACTGTAACCTAAGATGCCCGCGTGTTTTGGTAATTTTTGTAAGTTTGCAATGAGACCTAAACACAAATAGAAAATCTTGTAATTTTGCAAACTAATCACTTTGTGTAAAATATTTTTAAATGTTAGATTTGTCTCCAGCTTTCCTTCCCTATGCCCTACATAGGCAAGAGGTATATATACTGGGTAATGCATATTGCAAAATAAAAATATATATCAATATATAGACAATTGAGAGTGAACACACAACATGAATCCTCCCCCATCACAGTGGAAAAAGGCGTTGAACAATGAGCGAAATGAGGAAGAGAAATCTTCTGAATGGGTTAGTTCTATTATGCTTCAGGGGAAGACCATTTTGAAAATATTAGTACTTCAACTAGAATACCAACCTCAGCCAAAGGGATTCATCATTGCACTGATAAGACAATCCCTAATTAAGGACAGATTTATGAAATTAGGCTCTTTAATTATGAAGCAATACATGCTGACAGTAACCAAATTTAAATTTTGTAGTGATGCTTACCTGATCCACAGGGTCAGTCAATTCAGAGAATGCATTGGCTAGTTCACGACCGCATATGAATAATTCAAATCTCTCAGTCAAGCCAGCAAGCCTAAAGTGGAAGGAGTAAAGGTAAGATTAATGGAAGAGAAAAAAAAAAAAAAATACCCAATTTCTTTACTTCACACAATTCTTCACAAGCACAGAAAATGCATGTCATAACAGAATATTTGAAATTTTATCACCAAAGAACTAGCAGTGACATTAAACTGATAAGAACAAAATCCACATTTAATCTTTAGATAGTAGTAGTATTACCACCGAGCCTTTACCTCATGTGGTATCTCCTCCTTCCAAATGGAAGGTTAAGGGGTCAAGTCCCCTTGGAGGCAATAGTTGGTGACTCTGTGAGTTAGGTCTGTGTGTAACTTACCTACCCAAAAAAAAAAGGTGGGAATGGGGCAGAGATAAACATTTACACACTTGTAACATGCCAAAATAGTTGGAGCATTATTAGCTAATTCATATGGAGACTGATCTTCAGCCTTTCTCAATTAAAACATTAATAAATCATTATCTTTATAATGAACAAGTTCCCACTTCCCTCTTTACCTTCCAAATCCCCTTAGACATGAATCAACCTAAAAAGAACATAGCACGACTTGTTTCCTATATATATATATAGCTTTCACTATGCAACGATCCTTACTAGATTCATTATTATGCATACCCAAAAAGGAGCTTAAGAATAAATGGTAAAATAACTAGAAATTTTTGTATTTGTATATATAAAAAAAAAAAAAAAAAAAAAACAAATTAAGGGAAAATAACAAGAATTTCATGGATCACATATTCTTCTCTTTATCTATTAGTCATACAAAATGAGAAATAAAGGGACTAATCACAAAAAAAAAAAAAAAACACTCTTTGGGTAGCTACATATGCTACATTAGCATTCTAGGAAGCAAATCAACCGAGAATTGAGTTGTGTAACTGAAATTACATATAATTATGAGGTCCAGCCTTTTGTCATAACCTTGATTTGCTCTTTACACTCAAATTATACAACTACTATATATTTTTGTATTGCAGCATTCTTAATTTTAGGAGGAATGTCAATCTCCGCATACCATGAACTTCCACTACATGTAAATGAAATTGTTGATATTCACAATAAATTATCTGAGACTACAAAAGACCATCCCACTCAGACAAGATAGTTCCTTCAAAATTTCCATGTGATCGTTGTTTGAAGAATGATGCTTAGAACCCCATGTATTAAATCAAATCTAGGCATAGCCAAATGGACAATAAATGGAAAGCCAACTACAAAACATGTTGCTGCATGGAATATAGAACAGGCACCACCAGTCAAAGGGGGCTCTAAGATGCCAGAAATATAGTTGTGATGCATGGATAGAGACAAAACACAGAAGTTCTGAAGTTACATAGGATCTTATTCTTAAATGAAATTATATGGAAGCTTGGATTTAATCTAATCATTCATACATAAATAGCATGCAAACTACCTGCAACATTGCACCATATCTCTTGATTTAATTAGAGAGAATTTATGTACTTTATTCGTTGGCAGTAGAAGTGTACTTATTATCTGGTGCTAAAACACCAAATGTTCAAGTTAATGAATTGTAATTTGTATTTAGTTCTAAAAACATTAGGACAAGAGCATATAGAAATTCCAAATTTTCTATTCAAAATCCTCCTTGATTCGAGTTTCAATTAAGTTCTTTCTACTTGCTATGAATATATGTTTCAAGACATTCTTAGAAATAACAATTGTATATAAAGTGAAAACGTCACTACTGGGCAAGGGTATTACAGCCAAACCATTACTTGGAACAGATTCAGTACCTTCGATGTGGTTTTGCCAGAGGAGATATCTCAACAGGATAGTCCATGACAAATGTGGGTTGCAGCAGCTTGGGTTCTACCACTATCTCAAAAATCTGGATAAATGTTACAGAAGTAATACTTTAGCAGGAGCAGATAGAAGAGATGTTCAATCATAAAGGTCGGGGAAAAAAAATATATCAAAAGGAATTGCTCAGTAAGCATTCTAATATTTTGGAGCAATCTGCCTCCAAGTGGACAATAACCAAGTGCATTATATTCAAATTACATATATAAAATCAAAACTAGTATTTCCGAAGAAAGAAAAACAGATCAACCTCATTAAGCACATGGCCAACAGAGGGGCATGCTTCAATAGAAGATTTATCTTTATTATCAAGGCTAGTACCAAGCGCTCTAACAGCAACTTCTTTAGCAGCATTAAGATCATTGCCCAACTCAACAAAATCAATCCCAGTGTCTTCTTTTACAAGATTGTGCATGGTTTCCCTCCTCCAAGGCCGTGCTAGACATATCTCCTCTCCCTACACGGAAGCATTACAACAGCATTGACAGATTCCTAATCCTCGTCAAATAATGGTAAATCTGATACAATTATAATTGTTAAACATTTAATAAAAAATAACTAAATTACAAGAAAGAACATTACTCATTTGAGGTACATGTCATAACTAGCTACCATATTTCAAAAGCATCTTAAAATGAATACCCAAATGTTTATCCTTTTAGAGAATATAAATTTCAGCCAATTTGCGAAGCAACTTCAACATTAGAAAATCATATATTGTCAAGCACGCAGCAAGTCAATTAAAAAAAGGTAACAAATAGCACTAAGGTCTACTCATTTATTGCTCACTATGCACAATACGGTAATTGCAACTCCAGAGGGTTTTTTTTTTTTTTTTCCTAGTTAGACCTGATGCTTACCCACTTGAGCCAACCCCTTGGGTTAACTCTAGAAGTTTTGTTCATTGAAAACAAGTGAATGTGTTAAATGCTACATAATCTTAAGTGAACCATACTAACACTACTAAAATTTTAAATAGATCAGAGAGAACAAATTACCACTTGGTTCCTTAGTCCAATGTTTAAATCCATCCTAACTAGGAGATATTATGGGGTCAAACAGTGGTATCCACCATCCTTGGAGAGAACAAATTTTACCCGATAATCAATTGTAAGCTTCCCTTGAACTGCAAGAGCACATTGAGTCACAATTTCCTCCGCCATGTTGATCATGCTTTCGTAGTCTGAATATGCTTCATACATCTAAATCAAGCAAGACTAATACTAATCAATACCATTTTTAAATAGAAATAAAAAATCCTGCAAAGGAGAGTGCATCAACTGCATGAATCATGTCAATTGACACTTGCTTAACCTGTGTACTAGATTAAATGAAAGCAAAATAAAGAGGGATGTTACCTCTATAGTGGTAAATTCAGGATTATGGCGCGTTGAAATGCCTTCATTTCTGAATATTCGGCCCATCTCATATACTTTTTCAAATCCCCCAACCTGTCATTTGAAATGAGAGGTCTTATTTGAAAAAGGAAAAGAAATCATGCACAACAGGGCAACAAAATCTATTTATAATTGCTATTTTGATATACATTGCTTGGTGCAGTTGTTAAAACTCAGGCTACCAAGCGTGCAAATACAGCTTCAAGTCTCAGAACCTTTCTATTTGGATATAAAAACAAAGCTTCCATAAGATGGTTGAAGGACCAAAAATTACAATGATATATGTTCAAGCCAAAGCCTAAACTGAAGCTAGAGTGTGTGAATTCTCACCAGCATTCTCTTCAAATGGAGTTCAGTTGCAATTCTCAAATAAAGATCCCTTCCAAGTGAATTATGGTAAGTAACAAAAGGTCTAGCTTCTGCTCCACCAGCTGCTCCCTAGAAGACCAAACCAATTAAAAACCAAATAGCAATGAAAGACAATCTTCAGCGTTCCAAATATCAGATGTTTCACAAAACAAAGAAGATATGCAAGACATGCATTACATCAGCAAAGAACAGATCAGGTATTTCAGGCAAAAGATAGTATTAATAATATTATCTGTAGCAGCCTGATTAAGAAACAGAATGAGAAAACTTTATTAGTTTTACTAAAAAGACATGTGAAGAATAAAAATGCCTGATATTCAGCTCAGTTAATCATACAGTCAATCCATCAAATCGCTGTCATTTTCACTTGAGTTATCCATCATCATGTTTACAACTTGTATAATTCAGCAGCTTTACCTGTAAGATTCCCATATCCCGCACCACAACGTATTTTTCATCTTTTTTTTTTTCAAGATGGCAATTATTTACAGAGTCAAGCTACTATGTTTAGGTAACTCGACATACTGCAATTTATTACAATTTGGAAAGATAATCCTGAGCCAAGTGAGATATCTACTAAAACAATGTCATTAAAGACGTAATGAGCCAAATTGGTAAAGTATGCATGCCAGTTACATGAAATAATACAGTACCTAGGGATCAGAAAAAAGCCAAATTCGCTATAAAGTATTCCTTTATTTTTTTGGTGAATCTATAAAATATTCCTTTTGAAAAAGCTACATGCAGTAATTGATAAGTTTTATCTCCCATCCTCAATAAAAACAACTTCAATGTCCAAGTGGCCAACACTGAGCAATTGTCCTTCAGCCAATCAATTCGTTTCCGGAATTGGAAACTAATCCGTTTGACAACAAAGTTCAGAGTAGCTCAAAATCCAAGCCTGCTGCCTGCCTGCATTCAATTCAAGTTCACATCACCCAATAACTTTCTCATTTCACAAAATAATGGAGTGTGTTGTTTTTATTTCATATCTCCTCGCAAGCCAAATCCAATTTATATTGAAAAGTCACATCCTTTTATCATTATTTTTCCTTTTCTAAATTGAACTTAAAAAGTACAAAGTAAAAAAAATATGTCTTCTATTTCTCTTTGCTTCTTATCAAAAAACTGCACTTAGAACTACAAGGTTATTTTCATCTAAACGATCTAATTTTTTATAATTTCCAAATGATACACATTTAAGATAAAATATAAATCAATGAAGAAATGAAACAAACTTCAATGCCCATCTTAGGCTTACAAAGATCTTACATGCTCCTTTATTCATCTTTACTAGAGGCGGCATAAGTGTTTGCTAGGTTTAGGAAAAATAGCAAGCATTGGCTCTTAGTAAGTTGAGTTTCAAACAAGCACACATTTGAGGAACAGCGCATATCATGTAGATGTTTCTAGGTTTGACAATGTCACCATTATCATCATCATCATGTTTGCCTTGATCCAATTCAAACAGAATTAGGCAATTGAAATCTCCTCTTCTTCCACACTTTATGAGCTATGCGTCCTATTTATCTAATTTCTTGAGTTCATTTCTTTTTACTTCATGTTAGTTCTAGTCCGCTTCTTTGCCTCTTATATTATATTTTAACTATTTTTTCCCCATCAACTAGTCTACATGTATATGTCCATGCCACCTAAGTCCACTTTCTCCTATTTTATCACTAATAAGTGTCACTCCTAATTTTTTTTTCCTAACATGTAAATTATTAAGTTTCTTCTGATTAATCCTATTATCCATCTCATCATTCTCATTCCAATAACATGGATGCATTGTTTTATTTCTTTTCTAATACCTAGGATTTTACCTCATATAAGATAGCTAGCCTGATGATCATCCTGTAAGACTTCTCTTTGACATTACTTGATATCTTTTATCATGTGAGATGCCACTAGTCTCTCGTCATTTACCTAACCTATTCCTAACCTATTCTAATCCTACATCATCATCGATCTCTCCATCCTTTTGTATTATTGATCCTACATATCAAAAAGAATATTTTAAGTAATCCTTTGATCTTAAAAATTATTATCATTATATTGTCATTTTATTATTATTTATTGAATTTACATTCCATATATTCTAGTTTAGTCCTACCCATTTTGAAACTTCTTGGTCTAATGTATTTATCTAAATGTTTATTTTGGGCAAATCAAGCAAACCTCCCATGAGGTAAGGTCTAATTACACACAGTTCCTATTTGTCAAATTGATGTGGCAAATGACCATTCTAGCCCTTTGTAAAATTAGGGGAACCATGTATAATAAGGCCTTACCTCAGGGGAGGTTTGTGTAATTTTCCCCTTTTATTTTTATTGGTAGGGTTTTCTCAAGTGTGAACAACATCATCAACAAACAACATGCATCATGAAATGTCTCCTTGAACATCTTTCCTTATAACCATCTAAAAATATTGTTTACAAGTATGTGATTGCTACCACAACAAACAAAGCCTTTTACAACTATTTTTTTTATAAGACTAAGATTGTATAAAAAGGCGTTCAAAACCATTTTCCAACTATTTGGAGTCAGCTACATGAATCCTATTCTTCCATTCCGATTTAGCTAAGGCCATAACCTGAGTCAACCCACATATTATCATATTCTTCCATACTAACTCTACCCACGTCAACAATTATGTGCTTAAGAGTAAATCCTTATTAAAGTCCTGCTTTTTCAGGAACATCATTAATATCTCCACACAATGCAATAATGCATGTAAGCATATAATTCTACTCCATCAACTTTATACATAGCTTATAGATAATTTCAACAAAATTTAAGGAATTCATTTTCTTTGTAAGGCACACCAATTATATCTCTCTTCTATCATACAAACCTGAAAAGCCATATTTTGAGTTTATGAATTTTCATAAAATATTAGATTATTAACATTGATTTCTTATACTAATAATATGTAGAACACAATTAATTGTTACTTTATTAATACTTTTTTTTTTTTTGATAAGTTATTTTTACTTTAGTAATACTAATCGGTCATTAAAAAATCCAAAAACATATTATCAAAACATGTTAGTTGAGCACTGTTGCGAAGCTTCGTAGTAGTCTGACTTCAAGAAGAGAACAGTCCAGCTAAAAGCATAACAGAACATTCTATTTTTATTTTTCTGACCCCCATTTGATGAAACATGACAGATTATTAATTAAACAAATATTCAAAATGGAAATTCCATAAAATTAAAAGATTTATGCGAACCTGTAGGACTGGTGTTTCAACCTCAATAAAGCCAAAAGATTCCACTGTGTTGCGAATCTTCGATACGATCTACTGAAAACAAGGGCAATTTAGCACAGTGATCTTAGAAGAGGCGCACGCACCCGGGGGGGGGGGGGGGGGGGGGGGGGGGGGGGGGGGGGGGGCAGGGCGCGGAATTAAAGGAAAAAAGAATCAATATACGCATGCAGTAAACTGACAAGGTCAAAGGTTCATATCAAAACATTTTAAAATGGTACTTCTTCTCCATACAAATCTTTCTGTTCTCTCCGTCATTCCTCATTAGTCCTTTAGTAAGTGGATAGCATCATTGTTTACACCACCCCCCCCCCCCCCCGGCGACCGGGGATCCCAGCAAAACCCCAAATCAATTTTGCCACCACTGTTGTTTCAATTATTAGTCACTGTCAATCAGTCTCTCCAAAGATTCATAATATGACTCGTTAACAAAATAATAGGACAATTTGTGGAGTTTTAAATCTTGTCTTATCTTTATGTGTAGTTATAAAATATTTTTTTTTGCCACTCACCAAATATTATGGTCATATTAAACAGTTTTGTTAGCCAAAACATGCCATTGTTACCTAATTAATTCCAAGACTCTAGGATTATTCAGTCCTAATTCCATAAAAAAATATTATATTAGAAAGAAAAAAATTATAAACTTTTCAGAACCAAAAATAATAATGATGATGACCCACCTTTGCTCTTTTCCGGAATATATCAGCCACCTCAGGATTTGCAATCATATCTATATACCTACCAAAGAAAATTCAAGTACAGATGCAGTGGATATCAGCAAAAAACCAGTTTGCAGCCTCCAAAATTATCTGGCATCCAAATACAGATCTAGAGTTGCAAAACATAGAGAACAGAAGGAGATATTAGGAGCCAGTAGCAACAGAATATAAGGCAAAGATCTGTTTATAATATCGATGCCACAGTTAATTTATATTGCTCAACTATAAGATCCACTCAGTAATTGTTTGGTCATTTTACGATGCCACATTTATGATGTGTACGATGAAAATAGAGATAATTTCATGGATATAAAGTTACTAACACAAATCCCACTAGTAATTTGACTATTAACTACAATAATATGGTGATCCTATATGTGGATATAGCATCTCGAAGACCATGATATCTCTCCAAAATTAGACATTTCCCATCATCATTAAATTATAACATTTAATTTAATTTTTTATAAGTAAATGAAATTTTATAGAAAGCAGTAAGCACCAAAGTCAGTGTTCAACCCATGTATACAAGAGGTATGCATAAATAGTTACGTATAAATCTCCGAAAAATTCAGTAATAGAACATTTGGACATCAAAACAGCCTTACTAAGAAAAAATAAAATAAAAATGGAAGTGCATTGCCCGATGTGTGGTCCACCCACTCAGGCTGCTGGGAGTGGAAGACCAGAGACAAACCTAACCTTTTGCCTTATTTTACATAAAGTGCTCCACATATACAAATGCGAGCCATAACTCACAGCTTCCTAGTACTCCAAAGACACAAAAGCTACTCCAAGCAACCAACATTCTTTCCAACGATCCTGTATCAAAACCTCAACAAGGAGAATAAAAGGTTCCTTACATCCCAGAAAAAAGTCGCAATGGAGGAGAAGATGATCAACACTCTTCCCCATCCTTTTGCATATCCACATCATAAAGGCATGCTCTCTCTTCTTCATGGTTAGGATGGCTTCCTAACCGCGCTTACACAAAGAACCCCGCCTTCAAGAGGCATTAATGTGTGAAACCACTTTCCATTGTAACATCACATAATTTCCTCCAATCAATATTCCTACAGCAAAACCTAAGTATGAATCTCCCATGACAATCAATTTCTCACCTTATCGAATCTCTACCTCCCATCCACAGCAGCTGCATATAACAATGCAAACAAAACGAGCACATTCTCCACTTCGCAGCCTTAGAAATCGCTGAAAACCTTGAATTCCACACAACAACAGCCTTTCAGAGAATCATGTAATCAGGCAACTAATAAAGCATCTCTGTTCACCACCAAGTTACACATCATGCCAAAATCTAATCCTTTGACCATTCCTCACACTGAATAAAGATTTCGCAACATTTCATGATATCCAAACCCTAGGCCCATAAGACAAACTCACTGCATCGGAATATCAATCCCAAGCAGACATTAGTTTCAATCACCCTCTTCCACAATGAGACACTCTCAGCCCCATATCTCCACAACCATTTTCCCTAAAAGACCTTATTAAAACTTGTGTCGGGCATGTTAGGGATGTGTCAACCAAGTGTCCTAACAAAATTTATTTTTGGATTGTGAATGCATCCACGAGGTACCTAAAAATGTTTAGGAGTGCTTGTAAAGTGCCAGCCTTAGAAGTGTCTAACAAGGACTGAATGCCTCTGTAGAAGTGATTGTGCTTCTTAGACAACCCCAAATGGATCAAAGATAAGGAACCCCTTCCACCCCAATTAGCAGTCAAAAATCCATCATATCCACCACTTCCCCAACCAGAATGATCTCACTTTTCCAGGTCAACACATAAGCATAAATAGCCCCTCAAAGTGCAAAAGCAGACACCAGTGACACCTCGGCTGATCCTCATCCTTGACACAGAAAATAATCATGTCATCTACAAAGAGCAAGTGAGAAACAGAATAAAGGTGCCCCACTAACCAATCATAACGCCTCTAACATGCCCGGAGCCCGGAGCCCTATGTATAGTCTTGCTTAGAGGCTCCATAACAAAAGGACAGAAGAGGTGAAAAAAGGTTTCTCTACCTTGAACCTCTACTCCTAAGAAAGAATGCCTCCTGAGAAAACTTCACCAAAATATAAAATCTAACTGTCAAAATACATACCTGAATCCACATCCTCCATCTCCCATCAAAAATAATCTTGTCCAGAAGATGTAGTAAGAAACCCCTATGAACAGATCGTAGGCTGCTCAATATTTAGCCTTCATAAAGTCCCCTGTTTGCCACTTCTACACCAAACGTCAACACACTCACTAGCGATCAACAGCACATCTAAAATAACTCTAACAAAGTAAGAATATCCGGAAAAATACCTCCAATCACCTTTGAGGTCATAAGAATAAGACCTCAGTAATCAACTTCCAAAGAACTGCCCATCAAATTGGTTGGTTTGAAATCCTCAATATCCACGGTGTCCCATTTTTAGGGATCAATGCAAGAAATGAAGTAATTAAAAACCTTTTAAAACCTCCAACCTCAAACAAAGCATACAACAATGCCATAAAAGCCCCTCAAACCACTGACCATGGTTGCTGAAAGAAAACCGGTCATGTTGTCAGGGCATGACGCCTTATCATTATTACAAATCTTCTTACTCCCCCAATACATCATCTTTAGAAAAAGCCTTTCAAGCCTTTCCCTATCCTCCTTCCCAGTTGAAGCAAACAAACTGTCAAGAACCAGTCTCCTAACCCTCAAATAAAATGCAATTGACCACAAAAACCCACAATGCCATTTTAAATAACCCTCACTGGTTAGTTGCACCACTTCAACAAATATAAAGGCAGATATTGTTACCTCATTAGCACTGACAAATTTTGTAACAAAAGTTTGATTGTTGTCCTTAGTTTTATTTTTTATTTTTCAATGTTGGTTAAGGTAGTTAGGTTATGTCACCTCATGATCCAAGGATTTTTAAGATGAAAATTTGAAGATTGTGGTAAGGGTAACAAGGTATATTCACCTTTCAAGAACCTAACTCAACAATTATGGTTTTAATTTATACATTCATATCATTATCACGGCTAAAAAGCATCAGACATATAGAATGCAGGGACTATGAATAATTGATCCATTAATCGTCCCACTCTGCGAATGAACCCTGCGAAACTAAGTTCCTATGTTGTTTTATACCTAGTTGTCTAGTATCAAAAGCCTATACCTAAAAAAGAAAGGCCGGTCCATACTAAGCATAAAATCCATATTTTCTAAATTATGTATCTCCTATCAGACAATCTTCTTGAAATTGTTTTTTTCCTATTTGGTTGGAGCACCAAAAAGGGAGCCCTTTACCAAAGTCGAAACAAACTCGAGTTTCAAGCCATGTTCACTCAGACAGACATCCCCATTATGCCAAGTGAAGAGGAGGCTTCTTTAGCATTGTTAGATGGCTGGTTCGGAAACTCAGTCCCTTAACTCTTTATTTTCAGCCACGGAGAAGTCTGATGGGGTCAGTTTCTTATAGAATAAGGCAAGAGCCTGTAAGTTAGAGTCAATACACACTCCTACAATTCAAAAACAAGATACAAGAGAATTCTAGAATGCATATAAAGCATATAAGCAATCTAGATCAGCTTTTCTTTCTTTTCGGCATCTCAGTATATTGTGGATGGTGAGGATGGTGAGGAGTATTTGCAAGTATTGATTCATCAAACCTGAAGAGCTGCAAAGGAGATCAACACTGAAATCACACGAACAAAGATTAAGGAGCCGGACAACTCGTAGAGGAGATCAATCATAGGAAAGAGACATAGGCCACCCTGAGCTAGAACATCCGGTGTAAGATTGGATATACGGTAGCTTAGGTGATTTTATGGGTTTAAAATCTATTAGATCTGTATTACCTTTTTCTTATAGTGGATTTGAACTGTCTGGCCTAGGGTCTAATAGTGTTTCCCTATTCAGTTTTCTATGTAAATTTTGGCGTTTTGTGTGTCATTGTGTTCGTTTAAATTTATGTTCATTAAGCTACTTATTATTGCTTATAACTATAGAATTTAAAATTCAGTACTGTTAATTAAAGTTTTGGAAGACCCATTCAACCAACCCCCAAACCCAACCTCCAAACCCAACCTCTCTACGTTGTTAGGGACTTTAGCATACTTTGACATCTCAAAGCCTAAAGTGTTGGTCCTCCCAACAGATACAAGGTAAACAATGCTTCTACAAGAAGAATTTGCATCCATGAAAAATAAGATGCATATGTTATAGTTAGAACAATAATGAAACTGTTTCAAGATTCAAATGGGTTATCTGTCATTATCTAGACCAGTGAATTCCTGTAACAAAATAATTGCAATGTCTAGTCATCTCATAACATTATGCAGACACATGCATATCCAACAAAGAAGAAAAGAATAACAAAAGATCACCGTTGGCGATAGCGCTTATCCACGTCAGTTAGACCATGATATTTATCCGGAAGTGGGAGTAGAGATTTTGTAAGAATTGCAAATGAATTCAAGTTAACAGAAAGCTCCCCTGCAAAACAAATCAGGTAGAAAGATTGTCTAATCAGCATCTATATGCACTCATCGCGACATCATTCTTTTTCATTAAAAATCTCGCCAGGAAGGTCCACAAACGCCACCTAAAAAGAAATCCTCATCATTTGGAATTATGCAGCTGTTCATGCTAAAATATTTCAAGGACAAATTTATCAAGCTTGCAAGCCACACTAAGGTTTCTTACTTGTTTGAGTAATAAAAGGAATGGCTTTAAGACATGAATATTATGTTGCAGTTAGAGATACCAAATCCTATAACCATTATATTGCATTATTACTAAACTACCAGCCTTACCTAATAGAATATTAATAATTTAATTGCAATTAATGAAGTCAGATTATGTTGGCGGACTCTTCCTTGAGAGAGACAAGTTTGGGGAAGGAAGAGTTCCTCTTTTTCTCTTTTTATTTTTTTCTTCATTTTTTTTTTTATTTTATTTGGGCAAATCTGGAAGAGGAGTTCGGAGTTCCTAATTTACAAAAATGGCAAGATCTTAAACCTCCTTGTTTATGGCACAATGCCACGACCAAAACTCCAGTTCTAAATAGTTAAACTGATTTGATGGCCCTGCATGAACCACAATCCATCATGGTGAACCTTGAAACCAGGAGGCTTATCCCCACCACAGGTCATATCAACGGATTTATGAGGTGCACAGAGGGATCAAACTAACCCATCAGTTTGGGATCCAATTCGAGATTTTCCTTGGGAGGTATCTGAAAGGAATTGGAATGTAATAATATTGATTCATACAATTCATAAAGAGAAGATTCACTTCTTCTTTCCCAGTTTTCCATGACTGCAAAATAGGAAGTGTGAGGACCCAACTGTTTAGTGCATCATCAGACTCCAAGTTCTTTTTTTTCTCCCTCTGTTACTGAGTTTGTTCCCTTCACAACTTGCACATTTATCACTATTTTCAATTTTTTCTCACTACCAAAATAAATAAATACAAAAAATCATTGGGTGTCCGAACACTGAAAGTTGCTTTGGTTGGAGCATGTAAGAATCTACAGCAGGTGGATTAAGGATTCTAGTGATATGCATAATATTTCACAACAAACTTCATGTGTTCTGATTAATCAGAATGAAAAAGGTTTTAAACTTTCAGCTCACGGACTGATAGAAGAACCATGTATCTCCACAATTAGAAGATGATGCACACATCCAGATATGCATTTCAAAAATATTTTAAGGGATAAAATTTCATAGATACACTTGCATCTTTCTTTTCCACGATAAGCAACCAAAGCCAAGGAATACTACGAAAACAAAGAAACATTATTATATCTATCTTTTGATTCTTTTGTATTCTCCCAAACTATAAAATAAAAGGAAATATGAGAGTACCTATATAAACCCATATCCCACCAAGATAATCTTGATAAATAAATATAATGAAGGATCAGTATAGCTTACCCTTCTCTGTCCGCTTCACCGAGCCACTTGCACCCAGTATATCACCTATATCAACAAGTGTCTTTAACTTCTCAAATTGATCATTTATAAGCCTTTCCTTCTCACAGTAAAGCTAAAACCAAAAATAAATAATGTCAGCATATTGCCTTGCTCTATGAGAATTAGACAAGAAAGCCACGCTAAAAAAGAGAACCAAAAAAAAAATCCACAATGAATATAAGTTAGAAAATATAAAACATCACGGCTGAGTGATTTGCATTCAAAAAATGTCAGTTGATGATTATTAAATCAGTTTGCCTAATCTTGGCTCCTTCAAGCCCTTGTCATAAGATCAAGGAACTTGAAACTGAAGGACCCACAAAATTTAAAATAAAATATAATAAATAATAAACAAATAAAAAGAATTCATTAGAATAAAATCAACCAAATGACTATCTTCAAATGACCATCTTCAAAGTCAAAGTTGTATGAATTAACCCCAACTGCTATGCATCATAAAAACCATTGAATTTATCAAACTTTCTTCAGCCATATTAGACAGAGAAAAAGTAAACTATAACCAGAACCAACAGGCTCATTACCAATCTGATTAGTAGCCACTGAAAGAAGAAGAAAATCAGCTTTCAAATAAAGGTATGTGGTGGTTATTGCTTGCTTTGCTAAAGAATAGCACCAGTATTCAGTGGTTTAGTGGCATGAAGGATCTTAGCAAATTGATTTTCACCAAGAAAACACATACATAGTACTGCTACGAACAAGCACAATACCACTAAATCAATCTCACATCACATCTTGTGTTGGTGGAGGAGGTGGAGGAGGAAGGGAGGAGGCATAATCGAAAAAAAAAAAAAAAAGAAGGGGACTCACCTGAATTGTCCCTGAATCATCCCTCAAAGTCAAAAAAGCAAGCTTTCCAAAAGCTCTACGAGCCACAATTCTTCCTGCTACTGATACATGATCACTCTCGTTGTTGGACTCTTCACCGTTGCCCAGATGCCTATATATATCTTGCAGCTGATTAGCAGTATGAGTCCTATCCCACTTATATGCATAGGGCTCAAAACCCTTGCTCCTCAATTCTTCCACCTGTAAGACAAGCATGCTACCTTCCATTACACCAGATTCTATATTGTATCAATTCTCACAACAATTCATATGAAAACATAATTCCACATAAATAATTCTGCGTATCATATTTTATAAGAGAAAAAAGAATTGTACAATAATGTGTGCAATGTCTTCATTTTTTCCAACTAAAGAAAAAAAGTAAGTAGCACCAAAACAAAATTATGACTTCCAGTGTTAATGATATTCTAAAATAATTTAGGTAAGCCCCATATTAAAAACCGTGACTCTAATGACCTACTTCAGGCATACTCACTCCAACTTTACAATTTTCTGATACTTCTGTAATTACAAAAGACAAGGAACCAAGTAATAGTGGTGCTATGTAGTACATTCACCATAAAATACGAAGGCAAATATTAATTCAATATGCAGAACTCAGAATGAAGCTACAATTTACAGAGTACTTGGTAAATCAGCATTGTGAATTTTTGTGAGCATAATATGTGTCAGAATGTAGCATTGGAGAATGTCACAAGCAACAAAGACCTTTTTCACAACCTTGATTCCTTGAACTTGGAACTTAACATCTTTGAAGAGGTGGCACATAATATTTTTTAGCAATGCACCATTGCACCACTTCGGAAGCGATAGTCCCAAGTACCCTTCAATATAGTTCAACTAAGTACCACATTATTACTTTCCTCTTCCTAAAAGAAGAGACCTTGCCTCTTGTAACTATATATTCTTTTCCACTTTTGCACATTTATAAACCCATCAAAATATACACAATGTTATCTCATGATTTTCAATTTTCTTTAACCTATTATATTAAATTTAATAACAGAAATGTACACAGTGGTATGTCCGTTAATGGTAATTGCTTCCTCTACTGATTCCAATGTATTTTCTGCAACATTTTCAGATTAAAAATTCAAGTTATTATCCTTGCCCTCTGAACTCTAGTTGGAAAAAGACTTGAATTCCAATCAAAGTCTAACCCTTAACTATTTTAATCATTAACATATGGAAAAATTATATATCCAGCGGTAGTTATTGTAGAGGGCAAACGTCTTTGGTAATTATAGTTCTTTGAGGTTAGTGGAGTGGCAAATCTGAAAAAACTCAAATCAACTGTTGCTTTCAAAACAAATATATATATATATATATAATTCGTATATTAGCAATTGCATTGGTTCTTCGTGAAAAAAAAATACAAGAAGTGAGATTGAAAGAAGAATGCTGTCAGTTACTTTCTTGAGACGGATGGCGCGAACGGCGTCTCTGTCAGAGGTGGAAGACTGCGTCGCTGTAGTGGAAGAGGATCTGCGGTTCCGGCCGGGGAGTCTGTTGCCGCCGCCGGTGGTGGCGGTAGCGGAAGAGGGGGAGGGCGGAGAGGAGGAAGAAGAAGAGCAACATCTAACTATGAAAACCCTAGAAGTGGTTCGTCTGATAGGGCTTGAAGAAGCGAAATGGAAGAGGTGCTTCAGAGGCTGTGAGGATGCGCTAAGCACCTTCATCGCCTCCATTTCTGATTCTTTTGTGTGCTGTTTTACCTACTATATCCACATTATAATATGGAATATTTTTAAAAGATAAAATAATATTTGAATGATAAATTTAAAGTGCCAAAATTACTACATGCATACAAATGTTTTGTTTTTATGAAATATTTGTGTTTTTTTTTATATATAAAATGATAGTTTTATGATGTCACTTCTCTAAAAGGAAAATAGAGATAATTTCTTTGTAAATCCTTTTTCATTACCCTCATAATATTTTTATCTTTTAATCATAAAGTTAATAAATTTGATGATTATAGTTGTTAAATATTTTATTATATTGAAATTCTTTTTTTTTTTTTTTCTAAATCCAACTGGAATATATGTAGAATTGTATCAAGGTACATAACTTTATATATTCGAAGTCATGGAGGGTGGGTTTGGTAACTTATTTATTCCATTTCGTGGTGAAAAATAAAAAAATAAATAATTGGTTTCGTCCGTTCTTATTGGGCGAGTTTGAGGAGAGAGTTTAAAATATGCAAAATTTTATTAATAATTAATATATAAATAAATATTTTTTTTATTAGTTATAATTTTCTTTTTATCTTTATTTCTTATAAAAATTTAAATTTTAATAATATTTGACTATATTAAAAAAATTATAAAATTTATCTTAAATTTATTTAAATTTAATTTTTTTCCTTGAAAAATATATATATAAAGTCGTACCATTAAATTATTTGCCAACAGCATTTATCACACCATAAAGTTTATTAACTGAAATTATAAAAGCTCAGGTTAATGGTTTGTTATGTTGGAAAAAAATATATGTAACTACTATTTTATAAAAAGAGCACTGTTATTTTTTGCGACACCTAAATAATCAATTATGCACAAATGTGCAAGTTCTGAAAGAAACAAATCTAAAAAAATAAAATAAAAATTATTTTGTATTGCTTACACAAATGAAGTTTTTCGATATGATTACCACGGTCTTTATGTTTGGATTGGTTATATACCAAGTTATTATCTATAAATTTCAAATTACATATGAACAAAACTGTGTTTGAAATCAAATCTTTTGATAATTGGATATCAAAATAATAATAATAAAATAAACAAAAAATTCAAAATGAAATCTCATTTTTATTCCATAGGGGAATTCAAGATACAAAATAGACCAATTTCCAAAGCTTTGAAATTTGACAATTTTTCATCGAATATTGACCCATCATATTTTGTTATTTGAAATCACTTCGACCCCAATTTCATTACAATTCTCCTTTCGAAATCTCATTGCAAAATATAGTTCCTATCAAATCGAGTGATTCTTTTCTCATTTTTTGTTTTTTCAATACTTCAAACAAATATACACCCCACGAACAACTGTTTTTTGTTTGAAGAAGAGAGACTATCATTACATTATCATATGTTCTACATGAATTTGTATCTAATTTTTTTTTTTTTTTTTTTTTTATGATATTACGCATGGATCAGATATGTCATTATGAATTCTTCAAAATAATAATAATAATAATAATAATTTGTCTTCTACAATGAAATTGAATCTGATAAATGAGAAGAACAAAACCAACAAATTAAAACATGCATATATATATATATATATATATATATATATATATATATATATTGTAATGATTCACTAATATATATGTTTTTGTTACAATAATTTATACATAAAAGGTGTTAAAACAAAGTATCCTTATCAGGGACAACCACTCTCCCCCTACCTAGCAACTGTTGGCATCCAAGACCACAAGCTTGCTGACATTGATCGTCGTCGACATCCTTTAGTTTAATGCAAATAGCCTTGCAAGTTTCTATGCAATGCTCGAACGCCTCCGACTCTTTTGATGCTGTCACGACCGTCGTCATGCACATCAGCACCACCAGCAGCAGCGTCCCCACGGCCGCTGATTTTGAAGAACCGGCCATCTTCCCTTTCCGATCACCACCTCCTTCTCTGTCATCATCTATTTGGTTGCAGTGACAAATATGGAGGTTGCTTCAAATGGGTGGTTGCTTCAATACTTGACAAAGTCAAACCTATTATCCTTTTTTATATTTCAATTATATATATATATATATATATATATATATATATATATATTTCTTTTTTTGGCGAAGGATAGAGCACATTATGGACTCTTTCTCTCTATATATATACACACATATTCATGTACAATATTTAAATATACATACTACATACATGTAAAAGAAAAAATAATCAAGAATAAATGACAACTATAATTAATAAACAAAGTTTTTATAGTTATTTGGAGTCGGACTGCTTGAATTCTTTTTTCTTTTCTTTTTTCATATTCAAGTTATCGTCTCAATCAAAATCTAGAATGCATAGATGTGTGTATGAGAAAATTATTAGATTTTTTTATTTTGAAAAAGGGTTTAAGCATCTTAAGAAAATGATTGATTGAAATGAGCTTAATTATTTGGGAAATGAAATACTTATCGAATTGATTGTGGATAACTGTAAATTTTGAAAAATTATAATCTTTCTTAATTGATAACAAAAACAAGACTATATCAAATTATAGTGAAGTTAAAAAAAAAAAAAATTATAGTGAATTTTTGACTTGGGACTTTCTACATCATATTTGATGTTATTTGAATGATTAGTATTAATCAGTCTAAAATATTTAACTTCGCGACAAGGAGGATTTATTAAGTCCAGTTTAAAATTCCATGAGAATATTTGTCTTTAAAATCCTAATGAAAATGTAAATTTGTGATTGAATTATAGCTTAGTGTTTTAATTCTACAATGTCAAGTTTGATCTTGAATTTCAGCAATAATTATGAAGCCCAAAAAACAATAATAATTATTATGGAGCAAGAGTCAAATAATATCATAATCTAACTTTGTGGATAGAGCAAGTGCATCATAATGGTCGGACTATAGTCTAATTGTACAAATATTATTTTCTCAGGTTAAATGTCTTTAATTACTCGTAGGGTATGTATAATGAGTATATGAGTTTCTTGCTGAGATGATCGACTCGTTTAGTGAAGAATTGAATTATATAATCTTCTTATAATTTATGTAGAAAATTATAAAGCACAAGTCAAATAATATCATAATCTAACCGTGAGTTTGGATAGTGTAAAATGTAAATACATAATAACGGCCTAGTCTAAAGATATTTTCTCACATTTTAAAGTTAAATGTCTTTAATTACTCAATAGGGTACAATGAATACGTGAGTTTCTTGTTGAGAGTTGAATTCTAAAATCTTTCTTATTTATGTAGAAAATTCTAGAATCTCCATAGAATTTATGTTGAAAATTATGAAGCAAGAGTCAAATAATATCGTAATCTAACCGTGAGTTTGGATAGAGTAAGTACATCATAACGGTCCAGACTATAATCTAATGATACTTCCATTTTAAAGTTGAATGTTTTTTATTACCATGAGTTTGTGAGTTTCTTTTTACCAAGAAGGCTCTTCGCAGAGTTGAATTCTAAAATCTTCCCTATTTATGTAGAGAATTCTTGAATCTTCCTTGTTTATGTAGAGAGTTGTGGAGTTTTGTAAAAGTATGAAAATTTTAGAATAGAAAATTTCAGAACATGTTGAGTTTGTAGAGGGATATTTTTAGAGTTTATAAATATCTAGCTTATTTGGGTGGAGAATTTTTGAAAGTGCATCAACGCGTGTCTATATAGAGGACGAGAGTTCCATTTATATAGAGGAATGAGTGAAATAGGACACCAAATATGTACCAAGAACTAGTAACTAAAATGTTTTTTTATGCCATTAATCAAAATTAATGATTCATTTTACTATCCCTGTATCAGAAAACTGCGAGCTGAGTGATGGATTTGCAAAAACATTATCAAGTAAGTGTTAGTGAGGGATTTTGCAACGAGGGTCATCTTGTCCCACATCGGAATCGGATGAAAAAGAGATTGGGTATAAATGGATGGGTATGCAGCCTTACCTAACAGTTCGAGCTTTTGGGTAAATAAACAAGCGTCCACCCGTTATAATTGGTATCAGAGCCAAACTCAGTCCTTGATCCGGTGTCGTGGAACGTTAAAAGTATGGGAAGATAAAAAATGTTACGATTACATAAGATGCAGGTTTGTATTACACTTGGATGAAAAAATCACTAGGCCTATAATATTGATTTGATTAATTGAGTGGGAGTAGCCTAATTGTAAATTTATTATTAATGAATGATTAATCATTACTAATCTCTCTTCTAACACTTCTTGCTTGGAAAAAAAATAAAATAAAATGATCAATCTAAAATATTAAAGAATATACAATGATAACGAGATTTATTAGGCTTGGATTTAAAGTGCAATGACATGTACAAATTCTAGTATTTTGACAAAAATGTCATCTTTAACTTCATTATCCTACATAGGAGAATATGAAGTTGTGATTGGATTATAGTTTAGTGTTTTAGTATTATAATGGTACATATGATCTTTAATTTCAGCAATAATTACAGTGTACCAATTAAACTAATATCATTGTTTAACCAAGAGTTTGGTAGTAAGTGTGTCACAACGAGATGAGCTTTAGCCGGTGCTGCAATTGGGAGTTAAGACCCGTCTAAGCCCTAGCTTGGCCGGACTTGATTTTCAGTAGAAGGTTCGCCTTCTTCCCAGCAGCTATGCTCTACAAAGATGGAAACCAAGATCAAAGGTGTAAAAAAAGGTTCTAATAAATTTTATAGAAATCCAAGACTAATTCCTGTGGGCTTTGGAACTGCAAGCTGCAGTCGTTCTAAAGGGCTGGGAAAAGCCCCGGTTACAAGCTTGGAACGACCTTTCAAATTTTATTTGAAATAGACTTGGTACAGGTTTAGTGTTATACGTGTTCACATCGAATTCGGATGAGAAGGAAAATGGGTCTATATAGATTCGATGTTAGCTCCACCCAATTGCTTAATTTTTTTTATCAAACCGCGAAACACTCGACTTATTACAATTGGTACCATAGGCAGACTCAATTCTTGATTCGGGGAAGCGCCCGAACGGGAGGAGTCCGAGAGTGCCTCCCAGGTAGGTA